AGTTTGAAAATTGTCATAACGGGGTATAAGTGTCCATAGTAGTGTTTTTAAGGATACTTAATTCTTAAATAGTCTTATAAAGGAGTCTTTTAAGAACTAACTTTACTAGTACTTTAGAGGGTACATTTTAAATTATATTTTCTTGATTTTTTACTTAGAAGATAATTAAAATATCTAATTTTGTAACTGCTTTTTTACCAAATAATTGTGCTTTTCTAGGACTGCGTATGTGCTAGCTGATGTCATGGATGATCAGTTGAAATCAATGTGGTTCACTCCCTTTCAGGCTGAAGAGATTGATACAGAACTGGATTTGGTAGGAATAATTTCATTACTATTACTTAGAAAAAATTTATTACTGATACTTAGAAAAAATGATATTTTTTTCCTTTGGTATTGCTAGCATTAAGATAACACTAAAATAGTATATGGCTGTTAAAATCTAAGATGCCAGGTGCAGAAAGGCCACTAGTATATGAATTTACTTCATGATCCTCTGTATTCTGATGTGCATAAAGAAATAGTCATTAGGATCAACACAGAACCCTGCTTTAGTTAGCCTTTTCTTTCTTACTGGACAATCCTCCTCCTCTCCCTTGTGTTTGTTTGTTTGTTTGTTTATTTATTTATTATTTATTTTATACAAGCACTGGGTACAGTCAGAATCGAGGGAGGGTGAGAGAATTCACCAGAGCCAGAGTGGGGAACAGAACAGGCAGACGGATGAAATACACTGCTGAGGGGAGCAGCGGGAGGCAGGAGAGGTCTGCGCACCATGTGGGATCCTCGCTGGCGGCCAGGGATCGAACTGGTGCTGCAGAGGCTGCGGGCAGCTTTGCAGCCCAGCGCTCATCCGCTGCACCACCAGGGGAGGCCCTTATTTATTTATTTTTTATAGATTTATTTATTTATGCATACAGTAACTGGGGTACAGGCCAGAGGTGTGGGGGTGAGAGGATTCTCCAGAGACAGAGGGGAACAGAACAGGCAGATTGACTGAAATACACTGCTGAGGGGAGCAGCGGGCAAGTCAGGAGAGGTCTGCTGTGCCATGTTGGTTGCTCCCTGTCTAGGGATCGAACTCGTGCTGCAGTGGCTGTGACCAGCTTCATAGGTTGCGTCTTAACCCCTTGGGCCACCAGGGAGTTCCCCCCTTGTGTTTATTTTTAATGGTGAATGGAAAGACATCTGCCTGCTGTGCTTTGGCCTATGCCTCTTGGGACTGTGGGGCCAGCTCCACACTGTCTGCTTTTGGCTGGAAGGCCCAGCTGGGGAAAGCCAGTGGTGGCAGCAGAAGTCTGAGCGGCCACTTGGGGAGGACACTGAGAGGCTGTCCAGGGACCATGGCCTGGGAGATGCAAAGACTGTGCCTGCACACATCCCTTCTCACCCCTACCAGGCCAAGATTTAAATTTCAACATAGTCCATTTCATGCTTCTAAGAGACATATTAGGACGGATGATTTTAGCCACATCTTATACCATATGTTGCTTCATTTCTTGATCAAAGAAATTCATTTGGATATTCTCTATTCTATAAAATGCTAGTATTTCTCATGTGCAATAAAATTAAAAGAATGATTTGCTTCACATTTAAGGGATACCTTAGGAGGTGTAATGTACCTTAGGAGGAGGACTCCTTTTCCTTCTTTAAATACCAATACAGGGCCTCCCCGGTGGCGCAGCGGTTGAGCGCTGGGTTGCGAAGCTGCCTGCAGCCTCTGCAGCGCCGGTTCGATCCCCGGCTGCTCCACGGCCACCAGAGGAGGGTCCCACATGGCGCGCAGACCTCTCCTGCCGCCTGCTGCTCCCCTCAGCAGTGTATTTCGGTCCTTCTGCCTGCTCTGCTCCCCGCTCTGGCTCTGGTGAATTCTCTCACCCTCCTGGGCTTCTGACTGTACCCAGTGCATGTATAAACAAACAAACAAACAAACAAACAAATAAATAAAAATACATGCCTCTTTTAAAAAAAAATAAATAAATAATAAATACCAATACAGGCCTCCCTGGTGGCCTAGGGGTTAAAGTCTCAGTGCTGTCATCCCTAGGGCCTGAGTTCAATCCCGGCTAGGAGGGAGCTAACCCAGATATGGTGCAGCAGACCTCTCCTGTCTTGCTCGCTGTTCCCTTTAGTGGCTTATTTCAGTAAATCTGCCTGTTCTGCTCCCCACTATGTCTCTGGTGAAACCTCTCACCCTCCACATCTCTGGCTTACATCCCAGTTTGTCTATGCAAAAATAAGTAAAACTAAGAAAAAAAATCAAATACAGTTCAACTAAGATTACATTAAAAAATTAATTTCTTTTTTAGTGTATTTTGCTTAGTAACTCTTTAAAATTACCCGTTTAACTTGATGCTGTGATAGAAATGTTCTGTATTCTTCCCTGTAGCTTTATGTGACTGTTGAGAAGTGAAATTCTGCTAATGTGATCAAAGATCTGAATTTTATTTTGATTAATTTTAATTTAAATAGTCATATATATTTAGTGACTACCATTTTTGACATCACAGGTTTCAAATATTTGTGTAGAAGTTGTGCTTTTTATAACTTAATGTTTAATCACAGCTGTGATAATGGTGACTTTACATGGCTTAGGGAAACTTAAGGTGTTTAAAATTTGCTAAATTTGGATAAAACCTAAGTAAATATAATTTTCACTTCTTTTAAAGTATACTTAGGTTGGAACCTCACTAAAGGCATAGAACCTTGAGTTGCGGCACATAATCGTTTTATAAAAGATATGTTGCTCATATAGAACATGTTGTTTTCAGATTTGTTTGGAAAGGTTCTGAAAATACTAGGTTGTTAATCCCTTGTCAGGCAGCAGAGGTCTCCCAGATTAATACCTCTTATTTGAGGAAGAATATGCCACCACCAATCCCTTCCCTTCTCAGTACAGCTGAATTCCTAAGATTTTTTTTCTTTCTTTTAACTACCAGTGAGGTTGCTTTTACAGGTGAGGGAGAGAGGCAGACCTATAATATATTTATAAGCAGAGTCAAATATAATTTATAGGAAATTAGATTTTCTGTAATCAAATTTGACATTAATAGTTCCTTGTAAGATGTATTTTTCATTTTCATTTTTTATGGTTGCAGGTAAAGGTCGACTTAATTGAACTCTCTGAAAAATGCTGTAGTGATTTTGACTTGCACTCAGAATTAGAGCGTTCATTTTTGTCAGAACCATCATCTCCAGGGAGAACCAAGACTACGAAAGGATTCAAACTTGGGAAGCACAAGCACGAAACCTTTATAACTTCAAGGTAAAATTAATTTTACTAGAGATCTTGATCATGATCATGTAAATTTATTTTAAGATAGTCACATGATATTTTAAAAAAGAAAATGGATATAATATTTGAGTCATACATGAGTATTTCAGATTTTTTTTTAAAGATAATAATTTGTCTCAGACATAACCTATGTTATATTATTCTATTTTATGAGGGTTTGAAAGGTTTGAACAAGAGGTGAACTGTATTATTTTAAGTAATTGTTAGTCATTTTAATAAAATATAGTTTGTGTATTTCTCTGGAAAGTAATAGATATATTTGCAAAGTTAACACAGTTGGAATAAGAAACAATTTAAATGTACTTTTCAGTATTGCAAAGATTGAATTTTATTTTCCCTGGAAATTCTGTGAAAAAAATATATTGATGCATTGTTTTTGTTTTAATAGTGGAAAATCTGAATACATAGAACCTGCCAAACGAGCTCATGTTGTACCACCACCAAGAGGAAGGGGCAGAGGAGGATTTGGGCAGGGTATACGACCCCATGATATTTTTCGTCAGAGAAAACAGAATACAAGTAGACCACCATCTATGCATGTGGATGACTTTGTTGCAGCTGAAAGTAAAGAAGTGGTCCCTCAAGATGGAATACCCCCACCAAAACGGCCACTCAAAGTGTCACAGAAGATTTCTTCTCGTGGTGGATTTTCAGGCAACCGAGGAGGACGGGGTGCTTTTCACAGTCAGAATAGATTTTTCACACCTCCTGCTTCAAAGGGTAACTAATTACATGTATTTTCTAATGGGTGAGAATATTGAAATATTCTAGAATATTGAATAGAAGTGATTTAGGTGGAAGTGATTCAGATAAAATGTTTTTTCTGTTAACTACAGTTAAACTGCCTCTAGGTCAATGGTGTATTTGCAGAGTACTTTGCTGGATAGCAATGAAATCTATTTTTAAGTTAATCTTGATTAGTTGCCTGTTTAGTGATGAGTTTAATAGAAGTCTTGGCTAGTTATTTTCTGAATAATACCCATGTGTTATTTTCACAATTGTGCTTCTTAGTAGTTTACTCAAGATTGGTCTGTGTAGTTTAGCATTTATTCTCTTATCTACTTCCTTCCTAATGTTATATCTAATCTGTTTAAATTGTTTCAGTGTTTTAGATACTGAGTGAACGTGTAATTGTGACATGATTTCATGCTGCTCAATCAGAATGGGAGTGAAAGAATAGGAGCTTACATTAATAGCAAACACGCAACTATGTTTGGAATTGTTATAAGCACTTTACATATAATACTGTCACATCAATCCCATGAGGCAGGTGTGAATACCCCCCTTTCCAGAAGAGAAGACCAGGACACATAAGTGGCAGACCCAGTATTTGAACCCTTGTAGTCTGCCTCCAAAATCTTTGCTCCTATCTATATATGATGCAGTTAACATTCCACATATAAGATTTCATTGTATGCATAAATAAATAAATCTTTAACTAAAAAGAAAAAAAAAGATTTCATAGTTTCTCTTCTATCACTTTTGAAGATAAAGGAAAACTGTGAAATCTTCCAATTGAAGTTATGAAAAAAGTAAATTTTGATTGTGTTGCCTTTGTTTAGGAAACTATAGTCGTCGAGAAGGAACAAGGGGCTCCAGTTGGAGTGCTCAAAATACTCCTCGAGGAACTTACAATGAAAGTCGTGGAGGCCAGAGCAATTTTAACAGGGGTCCTCTTCCACCATTACGGCCACTTAGTTCTACAGGTATACATCCTTCTTACCTGACTTTGCTGAGAGAGGAAGGTTGTTAATCCTTTTTACATTGTTGCAAGTTGTAGTACTCTCATTCTGGAAGAGAGTATTTTAAAATGCAGATTTATAATTCTGAAGTTAGTTTAGTTTTATATCTGTGAATGAATGCCCAGTGTACATCTTCTGTAGCAATAATCAAAAGTTTAGATTCTGAGCTATGTGTATAATCTGAGCAGTTTCTTGGTGATATGCTCTGTTTTCATATTTTAATAATGAAAACCATTCTTTTTGACCAAAGTATTTTAATAACAGATATCTTCATAGTATATATTCTGTTTTTGTTTACAGTATTGTCTCGTGTATATAAGCACTGACTTCTTTTTTCTAAAACATTACTATATAAAGTCTAGAATTCTGTTCAGAAGTACCTTTTGGTTTCAAATACATGTTTTTAAATAGCAGTTATATTTGAGAAATAATTGTCACCATATGCTTTACCTATTTAAAGTGATTTTCAGCACATTTGCAGAACTTGCACATGGATTTTATGTATTTTTTGTTTATGATTGTTTTTTGTTTTCATTTTACTTTATTAGGGTAACATTGGTTAACAACACTGTATATGATTTAGGGGAATTAGAGTCACAACTTCTCAGATGAATCTTATCACACCATACCCATCACCAAAGCACCCATAGTCCTTTACCATAGACCTTAGGATCCCATCCTCCCCCTTTGTTCCCACTTACACTCTTGCACATAGATTTTATTTTATTTTTTTTTTTATTTTTTTTATTTTTTTTATTTTTTTTCTTTTATAGAGGCATGTTTTATTTATTTATTTGTTTGTTTGTTCGTTTGTTTCGTTTATACATGCACTGGGTACAGTCAGAAGCGCGGGAGGGTGAGAGAATTCACCAGAGCCAGAGCGGGGAGCAAAGCAGGCAGAAGGACCGAAGTACACTGCTGAGGGGAGCAGCGGGCGGCAGGAGAGGTCTGCGCGCCATGTGGGACCCTCCTCCGGTGGCCGGGGAGCAGCCGGGGATCGAACTAGCGCTGCAGAGGCTGCGGGCAGCTTCGCAACCCAGCGCTCAACCGCTGCGCCACCTGGGAGGCCCTGCACATAGATTTTAAAGGAGCAGAGAGTAATTCCTGTCTTGATTTGAGCTCAGTGTTACAGTTAGTATTTCTATATAATGGAAAAGGAAAGAATGTTACAACTAAAAACTGTATTCTTTCTCTTACAGGTTACCGCCCAAGTCCTCGTGATCGTGCTTCCAGAGGTCGCGGGGGACTTGGACCTTCCTGGGCAAGTGCAAATAGTGGCAGTGGAGGCTCAAGAGGAAAGTTTGTTAGTGGAGGCAGTGGTAGAGGTCGTCATGTACGGTCCTTTACACGATAAAAATTCTTTTAGGAACATCCGAAGTGTATATGAACATTTCATGAGGACAATAAAAAAAGACCTTGAAGGACCAATTTAGACTTAGCAGTTATCTGGAGACATCTGAGAGAATATTTTTATCTGAAGAAAGCAGATTTTGTTTGATACCTAACAAGATTTCAATAAAAATCCAAACTTTGTATGTATGTTTGTATATATTCTTCCCTTTCTGTGATGATTTAGAAAATTTCTTAGGTCAAAAATGAACAATTTCTTGCCCATATCACAATGTTCCCTACACTTTCTCATTATATGATGCCCTTTAGAGTTTTAGTACTTTTTTCACAGCACACCTATGCTCAAAGAAATACCTAATAGTTCCATTTATTAGTAGGTTCAAATAATCTAATAAGAACTTAGGTCATAACCAGTAGTAACTGTGGACACTGTACAACTTCTCAAACTTTGTTATCAGCTTGAACACCACCAGTATATTTCCTGTTCCACTATGCTATTTTACATCATACTTTTTGTCACAACTGCTGAAAAACCATTTTTGCACTGTCATGGAAAGAAATATAGTGGTATCTAATTGTAAACTATTTCAAACTAATAGTTCATGTTGTGTCCAATAGATGTGTTTCCCTCAAAAATTTAAAATATCTTGTGGTATTCATGTTAATTCACTAGGATGTCCTGATGCAGTTTTGGGAAACTTTTGGCTGTACCAAACAAAACATGACACTTTTTATAACTAAATGCCGCAAGAAACCCAAGATAACCTAACTCCTCTCAGTCCCGAGGCCTAAAAGCTCCCCTTCTTTAAAATATATAGTCTCAAGTAGAATTTAGAGTTTGTCCCTAATGTCTGATCTGACATCAATATTTACATAGTTGCTTCTTAACTAAATTTTGCTATTAATATATAATTTTTGTTTTAATATATAGAGTGAATATTAAAAATATGTACTAGACAATGATCTCATCAAAGGTAGTAGTATTAGCTAGTAATACATCCTTCCTTCTTTCCAGTAGATAATTTGAATATGCTTTTACTCTTAGTTAATAATGCAACCTATATGTTTATTCTACTTTCCTCATTCTTTTTCTCTACCATTTTTTCTTTTCCTTTATCATAATTTTCCATCGTTAATGCATATTACCATTGTCTCATGTACAGCCTGTCTAATGTGCATCACAGTACCTGGATAGGTGGGACTGAAGGCAGGTAATGGTCAGTTTTCAGCATAAACTATACAAAAGGGGTCATGGACATGGCTGTAGGTTCTGTCAGGCACACAAAAGGCTGTCTAAGGCCAGCTTTAAGGTAAGAAAGCACAATTCAGGGAGGGCGGTGTCATTGGAAGCCAGGAGAAGTACATGAGATGCCAAAGTGCATTTCTTAATAACATAAGGCTATAAAGATAACATTGAGATATATATATATTTGAGATATATATATATATATATATATATATATATATAGACATACATACAGTTCCTTTTTTTAAAAAATGTTTATGCACACAAGAGCTGGGGTATAGGCCAGAGATGCGGGGCGGTGAGAGGATTCATCAGAGACACCAGAGACAGAGTGGGGAACAGAACAGGCAGACCGACCGAAGCACACTGCTGAGGGGAGCAGTGGGCCAGCCAGGAGAGGTCTGCCGCACCAAATGGGTTGCTCCCCTGCTGGCCAGGGATTGAACTCGGGGATCGAACTCATGCTGCAGAGGTTGCGGATTGCTTCATAGTGTGGTGCTTAACCCTTGTGCCACCAGGGAGGCCCTCCCTTGTTTTTTTTTTTTTTTTAAGCTTTCAGTTGAATATCTGAGAAATATCCATGAGCTATCTTTACTGTTTGACTTTTAGGTTAATAAGGGAACCCTTCAGGCTTCCCCATTCTTAGTGTGTTGTCATTTCCTTTGTATCACTAGGCACATTTTCTCAAGCTTCTGCAGTTTGAATCCTATGTTTTGTTGTTGGTGTCTTGGTGTCTCACGATTAAATGAGGATTTGGTGTGGGCCACTCTTGAGGTCCCTTCAGCTCCCTTGATCCCTAAAGGGAGGATGGCCACTGTTCCTCTAGATTAGGCTCAGCTGGACTCCCAAGTGACAAAAAGTAAATGCTGTCCAGCAACTTGCCCTCTGCCAGAGGCACACCTAACCACTCTGCATCCTGAAGAAGGGCCTACTACAGTGGTTTCAAAGTGTGGTCTCTGGACCAGCAGCAGCAACATCCTAGGAACTTCTTAGAAATGTGATTATCAGCTAAGTCCGAACCTACAGAACCCAAAACTCTGCTAGTGGAGTACTTATGTTTGTGCCGGTCCTCCAGGGTAATACCGATGCTTGCTTGTCTGAGTGTGTGAAAGTCTGAGTGCCAGTCTTCTTCCTCTGCTAGGGCCCAGTTGATTCTCAAAGATTCTATTCAACAAAAATGTATTAAGTGCTGGCTATGGGACAGGTAATGTTCTAGGCACATGGTCACCATAGGGAACCAAACAAAACTTGTTCTATTGTAGCTTATATTCTGAGAGGTGTAAAAAGAACAAATACCTTAGGTATGTAAAACAGCATAAAGGTTAGCGTATAAGAAGCAAGTAATGGTTGGTCAGACAAGGTCTCTGACAAGATGAAGTATAAGTAATGATCTGGATGAAGTGAGACAAGATGAAGTATAAGTAATGATCTGGATGAAGTGAGGGCGCAAACCTGGAAGAGGGATGTCTCAGAACAAATTAAGCCAAATCTAAGGTTTTAGATTTTTTGGACTTCACAGATTACATTAAGTTAGGCTGCAGACATGAGGGTCACTCTTACCCCTCCTGTGCCCAGCCCCCAAAATGCGGTGGCTTGATTTAGTAGGGTGCACAGCCTCAGCAGGTCCCAGATTCCAAGTTTTGTAACGCTGGTCCCAGGAGCTGCCAAAAGTACAAATAAACTATTATAAAGACCCTCTTTATAACTGGCAGTTTCCAGGGTAAAAGCTAGTTAAATTCATTTTTCCCTTTACAAGATAAGTCAAATTCCTCTTAAATCGCTACCTACTTAAGTTCCCACTCACATCGTCATTAAACCATCAATATTTCGGTTTTTAAATTTTTGTTAAATTGTTGGATGAAACACAGTGAATGACCTTTAACCACGCTTTCCCCCTCCACATTTCTCAGGGCTGGCAGATTGTGTCATTGCCTAGCCCTTGGTAGTACTCACTAAATACCCATTGAATCATGTCACTTCCCTGCTCAAAACCTTCAAAGCGTTTTCTTGGCCGTAAGAGGACCTTTCTAAGAGTCCAGTAATCATTCACCTGGGGATATAAACCCAGAACCTAACACAGGACTGGGGAACTATCTTGCAGGTGCCACTAAATAAATGCTTTTTGAATGAATGATGGAGAAATTACATCGGTGATACATTTCTATCATTGCAATTACCACACCAAATCATTATTTATTACATGTCCATGTAGGCTGTGAGATCTGTAGCCTCAGCACCTACATTATGTCTGACTGGAAGCCCCAAATAAAAAATTTTAAATTGAATCATATACCTGATAAAACGTGAAAACATAGTCGCACAGCAACTTGCGCCGCGGATGTGGTAAAGTCGTCCAATCAGCGTAGGGGCGGGCCAGGCACAGCGGAAGAGAGGTAATGCGCATGCGCGAGAAGCTCGCCTGCGATTGGCCGCGCCAAGGCGGGAGTCTTGAGCCGCCCTGGTGGGGCCAGAGCGACCTACCTTGCTCTCCCCTCACAGGGCGCGTGTCTTCTGCGGGATCCTCTCCGGTGCGTCTGGACGGAAAGGCTTGTAAGGCTGCGACGCCCTTTAGGCTCATGGGGGGGTCCCTGAGGGGAGAGGCGCCGGGTGAGGGCCCTGAGGGAGGTGGGAAGGAAGGCCGCGGAACGGCCGCGACGGCCTCCTACGGGCCCGGGAGCGCCGTCTGAAGTGTGAGGGGCGCCCTCGTCGCGGGTCGGGGACCACTGGTGGCGGAGGGCCGGCGGTGGGGGTGCGTTGGTGGTCGGAAGGCTTGTTGGAGGGGTGACTCCGGCTGTGGTGTCTCCTCGCCGGTCCTGCAGTGCGCCCCGCTGTGCTGGGCCTCTTGGATTTATTTCTGCCTGGGACTAATCTACATTCTCCTGCACCGTGTTAATTAATGGAAGATATTTGTAGGCAGGTATAGGGGGGGCTGTAAAAATCAAAGGAGTAACTTAAACCAGGAAATGAAAAAACTACTACCTGATGTAATTGGAAGGCAACAAGCATAAACAGCATGGAAGGTCCATTCTTGTTGGCTCTTGGTGGTAGTTTTGTGTACATGCTTATGTCCTACAGGTTGTGATGGTTACACCCCCCCCCCCAAACTTCCCAGAGTCCAAATGAATCCGTAGATTCTGGTTATGATTTCCGTTGTCAAATGACATCCTTGACTCTATCCCCTTAGGGGACCTTCATCATTTCTACTTTCATAAGAGCTTATGTATTAAAAACCCAGTATATTATAGATAGTAATATTACAGATACATTGAGTGCTTACTCTGTCCAACTTGGTTCTAAGTGCTGCATTATTTTTTAAAAAGATTTATTTATGCATAGAAGAACTGGGGTGCAGGCCAGAGGTGTGTGTGTGTGAGAGGATTCACCAGAGACAGTAGGGAGCAGAGCAGGCAGATCTACTGAGATACACTGCTGAGAGGAGCAGCGGGAGAGACAGGTGGTCTGCTGCACCATGTGGGTTAACTCCCTGGCCTAGGGATTGAACTCAGGCTGTTGGAGTGGGCAGCAGTGGGCCCAGCTGAGACTTAACCCTTAGGCCACCAGGGAGGCCCAGGTCCATCCTTCATGGAAATGTCCTTATGTGGGGCATGACTGATAACAATTGTTGTACCTCCTTTTTTAGATGGGGAAACAGAGGCACAACGAGCTTAAGTAAACTATGCAAGATCACATTACTAGGAAGGTCAGTCCAGATTTATATTCAAATATTTGCCTTTAAAACTGTGTCCCTAATTATTAGGCTATATTGCCAAGTCATTTAAATAAACTTCCTGATGTGTTGCACCTGTCAGTCTCGATTTGCCATTTTTATGGAGGACAGAAACATCAGTGTTTAGAGGCATCACAAATACTAGTTTAAGAAGTAAAACATGTTGAAAGTTCTATGGGGAAATACATTGATAAATGCACTTTATTTTTTTACATTTTTTATTGAGGTAACTTTGGTTTATAACATGTAGATTTCAGGTATATACCATTGTAAGTCAGTATCAGTACATTATGTTTGGTTTCCATCCTTCATGATATAGTGCACCTCTTGTACCATATTTTTCTGCCCCCTGCATTATACTTTGAAATGCATCAACAAATTAGATGGTTTGATGAAAGCCCAAGGTCATATGAAAGCCTAAGATCATCTAGCTTTGCTATTTAGCTTTGATCATTGGATCATTGAGCTTTGCTATTCCTGGTGGGCTGGCACAGGAATCTGGTTTCTTAACTTTGCGCTGCTTCTCATATAGCTATATTCTCAAATGCATTATTATCTTTTTAAAATTAGTTTGTAGGATAAATAAGAAGGTTGAAAAATTAAAAGATCATGTATTAGGTGTAGAAGGGCTTGTTAGGGTGGTGATTATTAGAATTTGTTGTTGAAAGAAATTTTAGCATCTAGTCCATTTTTTTGTTATAAATGAGGAAATTGGTATCCAGAGAGTTTAAAATAGCCTGTCCAAAATTAAGCATCCCTTAAATAATAGCTTATGAATGAGAATCAGGTTTTCTTCATTTTTACTGTTGATGTTTTTAGGTACTGTATTTTCCTAGTATTCCTTAGAAAAAGGTGTCAGAATTTTACAATATGGCTGGGGAGTGTTGGGGGATCGGGCGGTTAGTTCTGACTAATGCAAAGAATGGAACTTACTAATTTTCATGATGTGAATGCTGTTTTTATTCATGCTATCTAGAATTTATTATTAAGTTTATTAGGCTTGTCATCTTATTTCAGTTGAGCTATGGCCAACTAAAAGTCTTGCGTTTTCCATCTGAATTTCATTGTTTTGTTTCATTTGACCATTTTAAGTAACTGAGTCTATATGCAGGACCTAACATTTACCTGTTTTTAAATCATCTTACTGCAGTTACTTTATTTCAGTTTAAAATTTGTGTCTGTTATCTGTCTAAACCTATGCAATAATCTGGTCTATAATAGAAAGGAAATGAGGTAAATGAAGGTTATTTTAGCAAAATTTGTTTGGAGAGAATCTGAATTGACTTCTGGTATTGGTTAAAAGATTAACAGATGGTCACAAGCCATCTGTTCAATAATTTGCTCAAGATCGTGCTGATGGAGATCTATTTTGTTTTTGAGTAAGAAATAGAGTATCCTCCACTACTCCCTAAACTTTGTAAATGCTTATATTTATTAAGTATTTGTAGTTCATCATTTTAGCTGAAATTGGGAAATGTCTAGCTACCAGTGACAGCATGTCGTAGCTTAACTGGCTGCATTCTTTAATGGGTACATAAAATATAGTGCATCTTAGAATTGATGGTATCTTAGCTGTGATGAAACGTAGTAACTAAAAAACCTAGTTAATGTCTCTTTCCCTTTGCAAAGCTAACATTTTCATTATATACAAAAATATACAGAAAGAGTGCAGAGGAGAACAAAAATTACTGGTAATGCTAACATTCAAACATAATAAATGTTAATGTGGCATGTGTTTTTCTAGTCTTTTAAAAATCTACTTTATAGTTGTATAATTTACAATGTACAGTTGAGTGGTATAGTTTGATGAGTTGTTTCAAAGTACACAAACAGCCATACTATAATCTGATATAGTTCATTTCTTTTTTTTTTTTTTTTTTAAAGATTTATTTATTTATTTATACAAGCACTGGGTACAGTCAGGAGCACGGGAGGGTGAGAGAATTCACCAGAGCCAGAGCGGGAAGCAGAACAGGCAGACTGATGAAGTACACTGCTGAGGGGAGCAGTGGGCGGCAGGAGAGGTCTGTGCGCCATGTGGGACCCTCACCCGGTGGCCGGGCATCGAACTGGCACTGCAGAGGCTGCAGGCAGCTTCGCAACCCAGCGCTCAACCGCTGCACCATCGGGGAGGCCCTGATATAGTTTATTTCTGTCATCCCCAAAGATCCTCATATTCCTTTTGAGAAGTAGATACTGGGGCCTCCCTGGTGGTGCAAGGGGTTAAACATCAGCACTATGAAGCAATCTGCAGCTACTGCAGCACAAATTCCGTTCCTGGCCAGGGAGTTGACCCACATGGTGCAGCAGACCTCTCCTGTCCTGTCTTGCCTGCTGCTACCCTCAGCTATGTATTTCAGTCAGTCCACCTGTTCTGCTCCCCACTCTGTCTCTGGTGAATCCTCTCCCTCTCTCTCCCTCCCACACCTCTGGCCTGTATCCCAGCTCTTGTATGCATAAATAAGTAAATCTTTAAGAAAAAAAAAAAGTAGGCCTGCCCCTGGTGGCGCAGGCAGTTGAGCCCCACGCTGTGAAGCTGTCCTCAGCCCCTGCAGCGCTGGTTCGAATCCAGCCGGCCGTTGAGGGTCCCACATGGCGCGATAGACCTCTCCTGTCGAGCCTGCTGCTCCCCTCAGCAGTATATTTCGTCAGTCTGCCTGTTCTGTTCCCTGCTCTATCTCTAGCGAATCCTCTCTCCCTCCTGCGCATCTGGCCTGTACCCCAGTTCTTGCATAAATTTAAAATAAATAAATAAATAAATAAATAAATAAATAAATAAATAAATAAATACTTTTTTTAAAAAAGTAGATACTGGGCCTCCCCAGTGGCGCAGCGGTTGAGTGCTGGGTTGCGAAGCTGCCCGCGGCCTCTGCGGTGCCAGTTCCATCCCCAGCTGCTCCCCTGCCACCGGAGGAGGGTCCCACATGGCGCGCAGACCTCTCCTGTCGCCCGCTGCTCCCCTCAGCAGTGTACTTCAGTCCTTCTGCCTGCTCTGCTCCCCGCTCTGGCTCTGGTGAATTCTCTCACCCTCCCAGGCTTCTGACTGTACCCAGTGCATGCATAAACAAAACAAACAAACAAACAAATAAAATAAATAAAACATGCCTCTATAAAAAAAAAAATAAGTAAAAAAAAAAAAAAGTAGATACCTACCTATATACTTACATACTACTTTTGGTCTTTTTATCCCCCTTTTTATAAAATTGGAATGATGCTGAACATATTTTAAAATTTTAAAATTAACCATTTTAAAATTAAGACTTTTTTAGAGCAATTTAAAGTTCATAGCAAAATTCAGGGAAAGATATATTCCCATGTTTTCCTTGTCTCCACACATGAATGTACACCCCCATTATCCTCTCCCACTAGAGTGATACATTTGTTATAGTTGATAAACATACCTTGATATATACAATCACCTAAAGTCCATAGCTTATATTAGGGTTCACTCTTTGGGTTTGGACAAATGTATTTGGAGAGATGTATGAACATTTGTCCATCATTATAGTATCATATATGGTATCATCCGGAGTATTTTACTGCCCTAAAAAGCCTCCCTCTTTCATCCCTAAACCCTTGCAACAAATGCTCTTTTTACTATTTCCAACCCCCATAGTTTTACCTTTTCCATAATGTTATTTGGTTGTAATTAAATATATGTAGTAGGTACCCTAATCAGATTGACTGCTTTCTCTTAATAGTATATTTTTGTTTTCCTTAATATGTTTTCATGACTTGATTGCTCATTTCCTTTTATCACTGAATGATATCCCAGAATGCAGATATAAAAGTATTTGAGGTAAAAAAAAGGAAAGCGGGCCTCCCGGGTGGCGCAGCGGTTGAGCGCTGGGTTGTGAAGCTGCCCGCGGCCTCTGCAGCGCCGGTTCGATCCCTGGCTGCTCCCCGGCTACCGGAGGAGGGTCCCACATGGCGCGCAGACCTCTCCTGCCGCCCGCTGCTCCCCTCAGCAGTGTACTTCGGTCCTTCTGCCTGTTCTGCTCCCCGCTCTGGCTCTGGTGAATTCTCTCACCCTCCCGCGCTTCTGACTGTACCCAGTGCTTGTATAAATAAGTAAATAAATGAACAAACAAATAAATAAATAAACTCTTAAAAAAAAAGGAAAGAAAGCATAATATAGAGACACATATATTTGTTTTTTAGCCATTTATGGAGTTAACAGTTCTTACTGTCTGTAGGAATTTTCAGTATCTCTGTGGATGTACCACAGTTAATCCATTTACTGGTAAAGGACATTTTGGTTGTTTTTCAGTTTTGGCAGTTAAGACATTGTTTTTTTTTTTTTTTTAAGTATTTATTTATTTATTTATTTATTTATTTATTTATACAAGCACTGGGTACAGTCAGAAGCACAGGAGGGTGAGAGAATTCACCAGAGCCAGAGTGGGGAGCAGAGCAGGCAGAAGGACCGAAGAAGTACACTGCTGAGGGGAGCAGCGGGCAGCAGGAGAGGTCTGCGCGCCATGTGGGACCCTCCTCCGGTGGCCAGGGAGTGGCCAGGGAGCAGCCGGGAATCAAACCGGCGCTGCAGAGTCTGCGGACAGCTTTGCAACCCAGCGCTCAACCGCTGCACCACCGGGGAGGCCCTGGACATTGATTTTTGATTGCTTTGGGCGATAGGTGATAACCAAGGCGTCATTGCTGGACCACATTGCAGAAGTATGTTTAGTTTTGTAAGACACTGTCAGACTATCTTCCAAACTGTACTATTTTGCTTTCTTTCAAGTAATGAATGAGAGACCCTCTTGTAACACAAGAGACCCTCTTGTATTACCCTCATGACATGATGTGAAACATGGTTTCATATGCTTATTTATCATCTGTATATCTTCTTTGGTGAGGTATTAAGGTGTTTAGTCCATTTTAAAATCAGGTTGTTTGTTTTATTATTCTTGAGTTTTAAGAGTTCTTTGTATATTTTGGAGAATAACCCTTTATCGGATGTGTCTTTTGCAGATAATTTCTTCCAGTCTGTGACTTTCTTATCTTTCTCTTGACTGATTAGATAGCATTTTTATTACAGTGTGAAATGTGGTTGGGTAGTATACACATTGAAATGGTCTCTAATTTAGACTTTGGGAGGAAATGAAAAGTATTGATAATTACGAGTCCTGAAGGAAAATGTGGAATTAGCCAGGCAAAGAAAAATAAGAAAGACATTCCCAACACTATATAGAGGAAAGTTTATTCAGAGGCATAGAGGAAAAGAGAATGTAACTAGTTTGGAAAACTGTAGTTTTGACCCAGATGTTGTTGTGGTGATGTACTATTTTTTTCTGTGTGAAGGTGAAGTAATCAAACTCCTGAATGATTTTGTTTTGGTTATTTTTTAGATCAAAACTGCTGAATATGAGACGGTCAGCAGCACCAAGTCAGTTGCAGGGGAATTCCTTCAAAAAACCGAAGTTTATACCACCAGGAAGAAGTAATCCAAGCCTGAATGAAGAGATTATGAAACAGAGTGCAGATATAAAAGTATTTGAGGTAAAAAAAAAAAAGGAAAGAAAGCATAATACAGAGACACATATATTTGTTTTTTAGTCATTTAAGGAGTTAACAGTTCTTACTGTCTGTAGGAATTTTCAGTATCTCTGATAACCTTCCAAAACTTTAAAATAATGATTAAATATTTTTTTATAATTTTAATTATAATTTTATAGTTTTTTATAGTTTTTTATAAAGGGGTGATGCACAACTTGGTATATAAAATAAACTTTTTGTAACAGTAAAAATACTTCTGTGAAAGAAGAGAGATGAGGATTCTTGTAAAAATAAATTATCCTAATCAGTGTTCTTTTTATTTTTTTATATATTTTTTTTCTGGATTTTGGTTTGGTTCCATCATTTACCCATATGTTTATTTTTATGCCAATGCCATATTTTTTTAATTTATTGCTGTCTTAAAGTTGAAAATAATGTGATACTTCCTTTTTCTCTAATTTATTCCTTGGGATTGCTTTTGCTATTAGAGGACTTTTATAATTTCATGTAAACTTTAATAGTTTTATTTAAATTTCTTTGAAGAATATTGTTGGTGTCTTGAGTTGGATTATGTTAAATATATTGGATTATGTTAATATATTGCTTTTGGTAAAATAGTCATTTTGACCATATTGATTCTTCCCATCCCAGAGCATGGAATTCCTTTCCATCTCCTTATATCATGATCTAAATCTTTAATAACATCTTATATTTTTCATTGTGTAAGTCCTTCACTGCCATAGTTAGTTCTTAGGTATTTAATTTTTTTTTTGAGTAAATTGTGAATGGATTTATTTTAATTTCTTGTCCTTGTTCATTGTATATAAAAATGCCAAATTTTTGCATGTTGCTTTTGTAAACTGCCACCTCACTGATTCATTTATTGTTTTTTATAGCTTTTTGTGTTCTTTAGGGTTTTCTATATATCATTCCATCTGTAAATATTGATAGTTTTACTTCTTCATTTCCAACCTGGATTCGTTTTATTTCTTATTGTCGGATTGCTCTAGTTAAAACCTCTAATGCTGAATGAAACAGAAGTGGTGACAGCGGGCATCCTTGTTTTGTTCTTGATTGTAAAGGAAGAACTTTCAGTTTTTTACCATTAAATATGGTATTCATTCGATTCTATTCTATTTCATTTATTTCTGCCCTTGTTTTTATTACGTCTTTCCTTTTACTAACTTCAGGTCTTGTTTATTTCTGTTTTTGATACTGCTTTAGGTAAAATATTAAGTTGATTATTTGGAATTTTTTTTTTTTAATACATAAGGTATTCATTCATTTATTTATTTATCTTTTTGTGGGACCCTCCCCGGTGGCTGGGGAATGAACCGGCGCTGCAGAGGCTGTGGGCAGCCTCGCAGCCTAGCGCTCAACCGCTGCGCTACCAGGGGAGGCCCGGAATTTCTTTTTTTAAAAAAAAATATTTATCTTTGGGCCTCCCTGGTAGCGCAAGGAGTTAAGAAACAACCTATGAAGCTATCTGCAGCCACTGAAACACGAGTTCGATACCCCCTCCCCGCCCCCGGGGAGGTGACTCACATTGCACAGCAGACCTCTCCTGTCTCGCCTGCTGTTCCCCTCAGCAGTGTATTTCAGTCGATCTGCCTGTTCTGTTCCCCACTATGTCTCTGGTGAATCCTCTCACCCCCCGGCACCCCTGGCCTCTACCCCAGTTCTTGTATGCATAAATAAATAAATCTTTAAAAAAATAAATGTGTATCTTTATTCATCTATGACTAAAGGGGTTAAGACCTACCTGGCTGAGGATCGAACTCATGCCCCAGTGGCTGGTGATAGCTTTCTAGCACTGAGACTTTTACCCCTGCGGCACCAGAGAGCCCCAGCAATTATTTCTTTGTTTATTTTATTTATTTTTTTTTAAGGTTTTTTTTTTTTTATTTGTTTGTTTGTTTGTTTTGTTTATACATGCACTGGGTATAGTCAGAAGCGCGGGAGGGTGAGAGAATTCACCAGAGCCAGAGCGGGGAGCAGAGCAGGCAGAAGGACTGAAGTACACTGCTGAGGGGAGCAGCGGGCGGCAGGAGAGGTCTGCGCGCCATGTGGGACCCTCCTCCAGTGGCAGGGGAGAAGCCGGGGATCGAACCGGCGCCGCAGAAGTCGTGGGCAGCTTCGCAACCCAGCGCTCAACCGCTGCGCCACCGGGGAGGCCCAGCAATTATTTCTTTAAATAAATATTCTCTGCCTCCCTCCTTTTCTTCTTTTTGGACCACCATGATATGGATAGTATTTCTCTGTAAGTTATCCCAGAGGGCTCTTACACTCTCTTCATTTTTTAAAATTATTTTTTCTCTTTGTTGTTTCATTTATGTGTTCTTTAGCATTGTGCTTTTGATTTCATTAATACACTTCATTGCTTGCATTTGTCTGCTGCTGAGGCCCTCAATTATATTTTTTAATTTTAGTATTTTTTTTAAATCTGTCTCATATTTATTCAGTCTTTATTCCTGTTTTATATTAGCCATTGTTTTTTGGGCATTTTGAGCTCATTGAGTTTCAGTGAGCATTTTTATAATTATTACCTTGAACAACCGTTCAGGCATATTCTACCCTTTTGCTGTGCTGAGGTTCCTCTCAGGGTTTTTTTTCCTCCAGTGTTTGTGGTGTGTTCTTTTCGTCTCTTTGTTTTTTAGTTTTTATTGGTTGTAATAGGACAGTCTTTTTGACTGTTACCTTTGCACCTGCTGAATTGATAGATAACTGGTAGTGGTAAAGAGTAAGAGGTAGAATAGAAACTGGTTGGCTGGGCACTGAAGGGTTACCTCTAGTAACCATTAGGGATTCAGTCTTCTGGGGTTATGTGATGGGGATCTGCAGTGATTACCTCCTTTAGGCCAGCTTTTGTATCTAAATGTTTCTCATATAGTCTTGTGTCAGCTTCCACCTCTAGGCCATGTTTGAGCACTAGATGCCATATTGGGCATGGCTTGTAGTTGATAAGGGGTCATAAGCCAGGTGTTGATCTCTTTTCCTGTATTCCAGGGCATTTGCTCCTGTTGTTAACAGGAGTTTAAACACTGGTTAATGAAAGTGTTCATTTGTTGTCTCTGTTAGCCCTGGAATGGGGGGTGGCAGGTGTTTTGAATATCCCAGCCACAGGTTGAGGAGACATAGGTTATCCAACCAGGTTCTCCATGCTGGTCAGAGCTCTAGCTGTTCTGCAATATATTGGGAGCTTCTGGCTCAAGCCAGTGATTATCACTCTGCTTCCCTGCTCCTATAGTTCTCTAATAGTGTACCTTCTCTTCTGCATGTTATCTTTGTGCACTCCCTCATCCAGCATATTTATATATAGAGAAAGCATGTACACATATTGAGGTATGAAAATGTACCCCCAAAATGATATATCAATAGTTAAGTAAATGAGTCAAATTTGAGGGAAAACAAATAGAGAGAAACTGGTGGCTGTATTTTAAATTTGGAGTCTCTTTTGTGCAAATATGGGAAATTAGATTTAATTTCTGCATAAATTATATTTGTTCTTTTAGGTTGCTTCAAATAAGAATACCTTTCTTCAGTCACAAAATGATCCTGGAACAGGAGGTAGTAGGGAAATTAATCTTGGGGATAATTACAGTGGAAAATACTGTTTTGAAGCATCTTCAGTGGCAATAGTAGACCCACATCATACAGGTAAAACTGTTGTTTATTTTACACTTTACCAGTTGTATTTATATTACTTAAATTGACATTGATAATTGAAAATGTTGATGTAATATTGTTGCAGATTTTTTTGCTATCATAATTTATCTTTTGTAATTGGATTAACAATGGCACAATTCAAAGATTATACTTTATAATAGGTGTGTAGCCAAACTGTTCATAGTAGATTAGTCAAATATGGTCTTTTCTACAAGTACCAATAGAAATTGCATTTAAAGATTTGATTAAAAAACATGTTGACTGAAATATAAGTCTCAATGATAGTTAGACAAAGAGTTTTTTAGGTAATCAAAGTGAGGATTCAACCTGGGAAGCAGTCTGACAGATTTTATTCTGTGAGAACAGCTCCAACAATAACAAGTTTGAGTTCAGTTTATATACCATGTATAGAAGAAGAAAAGGAATGATCAGTCATTGATTGTAAAAATATAATTATTCTTGACGGGACATCTGATTTTCATTTATAAGTTTAAATCTTTAGGTTTCCTAAGTTTTCTTGAATAAACAAATGTCGATGCTATCTATGGGCAGAGGAGGGCAAAGGCTAGAGTTTTAATCATTCTCCTGACTTCTGAAGAATGTATTGTGGATAAACCCATGCCATTTGCAGCAACATGGATGGAGCTGGAAGGGACTATGCTCAGTGAAAAAAGAAGGAAAAAGAAAAATATCAGATGGTTTCACTTATAGGAGGATTTAGGGGAACCAAATAAGGGATCAGGAAAAAAAAGTAACAATAGTAATAAATAAAAAACCAAAATTAGCTGGCAACTATAAATCAGAGATATTCTGCAAGGGAGGGGGAGGCAAAGGGATCAAAACAGGGGAGGGAAGAGCACAAGGGACTGTGGTGATGGTTCACGGGTGAATTGGTGGTAGGAATTTTACGGGGAATACGCCTGAGAGAAAGCATAAAGCATACATTTACAAAAATGAACAATGATATAAAATACATATTTATAAATAAATATTAAAAAAAAGCAATGTGCTGTGGAGACCAAAGGCTAGGTACCCATTGTTTAAAGTTTAGCTGGCTCCCTGGTTGTTAGTGGTGGGTGAAGTATTGGTTTACCCCCAGGCATCAGATTCTTATATGACTTCATGAACAGTTTGTTCTGACTTTAAACTGCTATAGAGGGCTTTGCTGTCCTGCCTGCCAGGGTTGGGTATGGGGTTGGGTGTGACGGAGTGTTCCAGATTGTTCACATTGTGATCACAATGTTAACTACTCAAATTGGAAAGATGAACTTTAAATGAGTTAAATTGTTAAATTCATTATTATAGTCCATGGAATAACTTCAAATATGTTTGTCAAACATGTGGCAGATAGTAACCATTATGCCTTTTCCTTTTTATTATGGTAACTGATTTCTTCACCAGAGAATATATTTGGACTATATAATGTTATGCACTGTGTTACTAGTTTGTGACTTAATTTGTTTCCACTATACTTTCTCATTCTTTTTGTTAAAAATATAAGAAGGGAGTTATGAGTTAAAATAAATTGAAGGAGTTAATTTACTCAACTAGTCATCTCTTAATACCTTCTCTAGATTGGGGAATCTGTATAACCTCCTGGTATCCTTCTGCCTTTCATTCTGAGAAGTTGAAAGGGGAAAAGAGCATTGTGAGAAACATTTTGCTTTCTATGGTGGATTGCTAAAGGGGAATGTTGTCTATAGAAAACTATGTAGATGAGGGCCTCCCCGGTGGTGCAGAAGTTGAGTGCTGGCGCAGTGGTTGAGCGCTGGGTTGCGAAGCTGTCCACAGCCTTTACAGCACTGGTTCGTTCCCCGGCCTCCAGGCAAGGGTCCCACATGGTGCTCAGACCTCTCCTGCCGCCCGCTGCTCCCCTCAGCAGTGTACTTCATCAGTCTGCCTGTTCTGCTCTCCTCTCTGGCTCTGGTGAATTCTCTCACCCTCCTGCGCTTCTGACTGTACCCTAGTGCTTGCTAAATAAATAAATAAATCTTAAAAAAAAAAAGAAATAACACAAAACACTTGAAGGGAATATGGCAACACAAACTGAGAATAACTCATTAAAAAAAAAAAAGAAGACTATGGAGATGAAAGACCTATTTACTACACACTCACTTTTTGATATCTTTTAAATCCTAGGTCTAAGCTACTTTAAAGTGAGATGCAAGCCTATATATACCAGTTAAATATATTGTTATTTTCCTTCATCACCTTTTTATTTTGAAAAAAATCCTACATATAGAAAGCTGAAAGAATAATTCAATTATCATCCTAAATGTAACAGTTGTTAACATTTTGCCTCTTTTTTTAAATCTCAATTTTCATTTTTTAAAAAAAATATTTATTTATACAAGCACTGGGTATAATCAGAAGCACAGGAGGGTGAGAGAATTCACCAGAGCCAGAGCAGAAAGCAGAACAGGCAGACTGACTAAGTACACTGCTGAGGGGAGCAGCGGGGGGCAGGAGAGGTCTGTGCTCCATGTGGGACCCTCACCTGGCGGCCGGGGATCGAACTGGCCCTACAGAGTCTGCGGACAGCTTCGCAGCCCAGCGCTCAACTACTGCACCACGGGGGAGGCCCGACATTTTGCCTCTTTATTATCTGCTTCTCTGTGTGTGTGTGTCTGTATGTGTGTGCGAGCGTTATGTGTGTGCATGTGTGCACCCACACATGTACTTGTGTGGGCCAATGCCTTTTTTTTTTTTTTTTAATTTTATGGAAATAAGTTGAAGGTATTATGCTTCTTTACCTCTGAATACTTTGGCATGCATTTCTTAAAATAAGTGCTTTTTTTCTCCGTAAACCACAACATTATTACCACACCAAGCAAGAATAGTAATTCGTAGTGTTTAATATCAAGTTTATCAATAATACCATTATTGTTGAAGCTCATTTGTTTGGTTCCTTTCTAAAATGAGTTCTCATGAGTATGTTTTCGCTCTTTTGAACTTCACTGTGCATTTTGAATCTCTTCATAACCCTACATGCTTGCAGATAGATAATAGTCCTTCTTTGAAAATGAAGGTGTAGGTCTACCACTAATGACTGCCCATGACTTAGGGAATGTTCCTTTTTTGAGGGTTGTGGTAGAAGGGCCCATTTTTGTCCTTTTTTTTGTCTACACTATACCCTTTTCTTCATTTGAGTTTGCAAAAACTAATGCCTGGGGTGGGGGGAATGTAATGGGTCGGATTATGTCCCCTAAAAACATATATTCAATTCCTAAACCCTGGTACCTGTGAATGTGACCTTATTTATTTGGTAATATGATCTTTGTAGACAATCAAAGATGTGTGCATACTGGATTAGGGTGTACTTTAAATCCTGTGGCTGCTATGGTTATGAGGAGAGAGACATAAAAGTACAGAGTTATAAGGCCTCCCTGGTGATGCAAGGGGTTAAGATGCAAGCTATGAAGCTATCTGTAGCCACTGCAGCATGAGTTCGATCCCCAGCCAGGGAGCTACTAACATGTTACAGTAGACCTCTCCTAACTTGCCTGCTGCTCCCCTCAGCAGTGTATTTCAGTCAATCTGCCTGTTCTGTTCCCCACTCTGTCTCTGGTGAATCCTCTTGTCCCCCCTCCCCCACCTCTGGCCTGTACCCCAGTTCTTGTATGCATGAATAAATAAATATATTTTTTAAAGATTTATTTATTTATACAAGAACCGGGGTAGAGGCCAGAGGTGCGGGAGGGTGAGAGGATTCACCAGAGACAGAGCGGGGAGAAGAACAGGCAGACAACAGAATTACACTGCTGAGGGGAGCAGCGGGCGTGACAGGAGAGGTCTGCTGCGCCATGTGGGACCCTCGCTGGCCGGCTGGGATCGAACCAGCGCTGCAGAGGCTGTGAAAGCTTCACAGTATGGCTCTCAACTGCCTGCGCCACCAGGGGAGGCCCTAAATAAATCTTTAAAAAAAAGTTTGGAGTTATGGTAATGGCTATATGATGGTTGAAACAAATTGAAGTAACACAGCTGCTGCAGGCTAAAGAGCACCAAGGAATGCTGGCAACCACTAGAAGCTAGACAAATATAAGGAAGGATTCTCCCCAGAGCCTTCAGAGGAAGAATGGTCCTATTAAACACTTTGATTTGAATTTTTGGTTTCCATATTATGAGAGAAAAAATTATGTTGTTTTAAGCCATCTAGTTTGTGCTACTTGGTTACAGTAATCTTTGGACATTAAAACAGGGAACACTTGAGCTCCCAGTAGTCAGAGCCTTTTCTTTAGAAAGAGAAAGAAATATTTTTTATTCTTTCCTACTCTTTCTCATTTTGATGAACTTTTAGATAAGATCATTAATTTTTCTTCTAACAGTTCAACCAAACTATCTTGTATTATGTTTTGTTAATTTACCTGATTCTTCTTCACTAAACTGTGACAAAGACAGGTACTTTCTTTTCTCTCTAGTTCCAGACCATATTTGTCATGCCACAAGTTCGTGAATTCATATATATATATTTGGCAATGAATTGATGGCATTTCTTTGTAAGTTTGGAAATGTTTTGAGATAAAATGTGATCTAGATATTAATAGGGCAGCATATCTTATATTACAGAACTTATTTAAGTCTTTAAAAAAAAGTACTTGCAATTAGAAAAATTTAAACCAGTAGATATTTGCTATGTTAGTATTATAGTTCAAATTCTCTTAATTAAACAACTTTTTTTTTTTTAAAGGTTTATTTATTTATGCATACATGAGCTGGGTACAGGCCAGAGGTGTTGGGGGTGAGAGAATTCACCAGAGACAGAACGGGGAACAGAACAGGCAGATTGACCGAAGTACACTGCTGAGAGGAGCAGCGGGGCAAGTCAGGAGAGGTCTGCTGCACTACATGGGTTGCTGCTCCCTGGCTAGCCAGGGGATCGAACTCTGTGCTACAGTGGCTGCGGTTATCTTCATAGGTTGTGTCTTAACCCTCGTGCCACCAGGGAGGCCCTTAATTGAACAACTTTCATTTAAAAGATATATCTTTTCCCCATAATTTTCTAACAAAATTTCGATAATTAAAAGATTTTTTCCATTTAAAATTTAATTGTGTATGTGTGCGTGTGTGTGCGCTCACGCAGGAATGAAGCTATTTCTTGAAATGAAGATGACCAAAGTTGCAAAGTCAGATTTTATTACAAGTTATTTAGAAATATTTCTGGACATTTAATTCTGATTTGAAGCTACTAAACAATTCTTTTTTGACTCTTGAGATGAAACTTACCAAGTTGTAACTGAATTCAATGGTTTCGTCACTTGGTGGGTATCTGGGTCAAATAAAAGATACTACCAAGATGGGATACACAAAGGACAAGTATTTCCTTATGACAAGAAAAGGAAACAGCAAACTAGCATTTCCAAAGAAACTGTCTCAAAGAAGTGACAATTATATGTGATTATTAACTTATCTAGTTTTTATTTATGGTTAAGAAGCTTTTGTATAAAGTGACCTATGTCTGGTGACCTGGGCAGGGGAATTTCTTAACAGAGGAATTTCTTAACTCTTATTACCATGCGCTCGGAAAATTTTCCATGTATTTGTTGACATAGAATGTCTCTTAATGTTGTCCACTTTATTATCTTAAAGCTTTTTTTTTTTAATAAACAGATTATTCCGGTTTTTCTGCTGTTACATTGAATTTGGGTTTCATGAAATTTGTGATGTGCTTTACTCTGGTTTGTTTTTTTTTCTTTACTGTCCCAATAAGAGTACTAGATTCTGTATCTCTACTTGATTCTGTGTTACTAGTATACTTTTTTAATATTAAAAGCTTGCACATTTTTTAGGTAGAAATATCAATTATAATTAAAACAAGCAGTACATCAGATTAATAATTTCTGTAATTTCTACATCAGAATAATAAACCCATTACAATGTTACATTAGTGAATAGAGAAAAAATCATTCACATTGAATCCATTTGTTAAGATTGTTAAGCTGCACTTATGTGTAATGTTAGAAAAATGGTATGGGGCAAGTTAAAAATGGTATAGGGCAAGTAAAGTCAAGAAGACTTACTCAAGACTATTACAATTAGGTAAGAGAGATTGAAGTACATTTTCCAGTACAATAGGGGTTTATGACCAACTGGTAAGGTGGAGTCAAAGTGGATGAAAAAAATTGCAAAGAGGAACTTGACTAGGTATCAAGGTAGGGGGATTCTTGATAAACTGGTTTAGCAGGATTCTTGCCAATCTGGGCTTGGCAGACCTCAAAAGCCAAGGCCTAGCTGAGAAGAGAGTTCAGAGGAGCCTGGCTAAAGTTTGCTGAAAGTTTTGTCAGTAAGAGTAGAAGCAATAATATCCACATGCAATGAAAGGGTTAAGTATAATGTAATCCTACCAAAACAATAAAGTTGTCTTTAACTGAAAACTGTGCTGTTTCAGCTTAAAAATTTTAGGTTTAAGGTAATTAAAACTCAATAAAATTTAAAATTCAGTTCCTTAATTCCATTAACCACATTAAAAATGTGGCTCCTGGCTACTGTATTGAATGTGGAGTTTCAGACTTTTCTGGACTTAATTTTCATACATATATATGTACCTACATTCTGTATGTATACATGTATGTGTCTGCACCTATAGAAATTTTAACCTGCGTGTTTTTCTGGTAAGTATAATGGGATTATAAATTGATGTATTATAATTTTACTTGCCCTTTTGCTTACTGTGTGTTTTGGAACTTGTTCTATGTCAAGACACAGAAATCTGCCTCTTATTTTAGTGCTGTCTAGAGTAGACCATAGTATTGATGTATTCTAGTCATTATAATTTCTCCCCAACTGGTACGCTTTTAGATTGCCTTCTAATACTATCTCACTATGTAGAATGGTGAGATACAAGGAGAATTATTATTGTTCCTTGTGAGTATTTGAGTACTTTTCTAAGATGAATTCTGAGAAGTAAAATTACTGCAATTTTAGGTTTTATGCATGTAAAATATTAATAGATACTCCCATATCTATTAATACCACCCAAAACGCCAGTTAGACTCCCATTTGTCAATAAGGCAGATGGAGGGGTACCCTGAAATCCCCAAACCTGCCTGCTGTAAATGGGTTCTGCCATTTGCCACATAAAGACAAAACATACTGTAGTACATAAGCCCTTCAATTGAAAGGAACTGTCAAACAATTAGTGTGCAATAGAGAGAGAAAGAGAAAGAATATATTTTCCAAATCAAGCACCCAAGTTACCCATCCCCTCATGGGCAAAATGCCCAGCCAAACAGGGTTGGCCCAAAGCAGGACCACTGAGGCACAAAAGCTTGCCACAAGCCTAAGGTACCTTCTGGTGGGGACCCATAGAAAAGGGGCAAAAGTGGCCAGGCAAGTCTGGAAGGAAAGAAGCAAAATCAAAACTAAGTCAAGGCAGTTGCTCCCCACGGGTCTCTCACCCAATTCTCTGTCTCTTTCAGGTGTCTCTTTCCATGATCCCCAAGTCCCTGGTGAAAGTCCAAGGCTGAGAAGCACTCTCAGCTTCTTCACATGCCTTCTTGCTCCATGCCTTCTCCAGGCCCTCTTCTTGAGCTCCTTTCTTCCTTCTTCCTGTCTTCTCTTGGTGCTTTTTCCTGCTCATTTCCATCCTTCCTTAGGGTGGAGCAGGGAACCTGGAACCACCCCTTTCCCTGGGGACTATCCTATTATGCATCAGCCATACTTGAGTGCTGTATCCTGTACCCTCCACCTATACACTCTTGACATTTCCAATCTTTTGCCAGTATTGTGAATGAAAATAATTTTTGGTAGACATTTCCTTTATTAATCAGATTGAACAGTTTTTCATTCATGTTTTATTTCTTAACACAGTAACTATTTGCCAAATAACAATGTTATCCAAAAACTATACCACGTTTTTGCTTTCCTTGTTCTCTTTAACTATATACAAGCTCAGAAAAAATGACAATAATTTTGATTACCTATGGTCAGGGTGTTGGGGGTCAATTTAATTAGCATCTCTATGGACAAGAATCATTTGTATTACTATTTTCCACAATTTACTGAGCAATAAAACTGCTCAAAGACAATGAAAGACTAGGTTATAAAGAATTATTGATAGATTACCTAGTAGGGTAAGCCATTCCAACACCTGTCTGGCATTCTTTAGAATACCCAGCGATCTTTCACTTTTTTTCTGACGGATAACACATTTAAATTTCTAGCACATTGTCCTGCTCATAGGAGGAGCTCAATAAATTTAAATTTACAAGGTAAAACAAGGCAGTTGAAAATTTATGGCTTTTTTTTTTAAAGAACTATAGTTTTCTGGAGATATGTATATCTATATATATATATCTATATATATAAAACCTTTGTTTTCTTGCGTCTTGCACAGTGCCTGAGAGCATTTTTGATGGGTGTTCAGTAATTGTTTCATTGAAATGAACTGTTTAAGTATGTTCTAATTCATTTCCCCTATAGGGAAACACATATCAGAAGAAAATAGGTTTATTTTGCTTATATATCTTGTTTTTTAGATAAGGATTAGAAAATGTATTTTAAACACACAAAATAGCCTTGCAGCAGGCTAGGCGGCTTCCTCTCATAGTTCAAATTGCATGATATAGTTAAAAAAAATCCTATTCTATATTCATGGCAAATGCAATTTAGTTGTATTCAATTTTAAGGCATGATTATGCTGTTTCTCACTGTGACTGGTGATTTTTACAAACAATAAAAGCAGGCTAGCATTTTCACATACATTATAGCTAGAATAATCCATTGCTTTAAAAACAATTTTGGGGTCACTTTTTGGATTTGGTATTTAATAAACATGTCTTCTTAAGTAACTGAAAAAAATACGCAGTGGTTACTGTAGGCTGTAAAATGAAAGAGAAGCTTAGCTTTACTGTGGAGTCTGAATCAGGGTGTAACCTAACTAGCTAGAGGATATGCAATTCCTGATTGACAGCAGGACCAGCATTATGCAGATTTTGTGAGAGAGAACTGCAGCTCAGAAACAGTGATTAAGGGGCTCTGTTAGGAATCACTACATTCACCACTTAAATCTTTAGTTTTTCATTTCCCTGCCTACTGGATTTGTAAACAAATAGCACAAAACAGTTCCTCTTTTGTTTTTATTAAAGTGGTACTGCAGTGCAGTTTCAGTCTATCAGCTAGGCATACATGTGTGGAAATTCGATATTCTCAATAAATTAGTCAATTTTTAGATGGGTTTCATGCTTGTCTTTAGACCTTTGTATATTAAATCCTATCTCGAGCTGTTCTCTTTATACACAAGTGTGTTTTACTTGTGCCTTCCTGTCTTCTTCAGTGAGAAGCTTTATGTAGGTCAGGCTTGGCTTAAGCAGATTTCCTGAACCTGCGTCAGCTTAAGCTGGAGGAATTTTAATAAACCCTCCCCTGTAGGCGTGGGCCTAAATGAGGCTAGCCTAGTTAAGCCTGATCTTTTTCTGTTTGTGAAAAGAGCTGAGCAGAGCTGAAGACTGCTTGGTGGTTTCAGAAACTGCCTACTTAATTTGAAAAGAACAATGGTAGGAAAGGCTAGATCTTCCAATTTTACCTTATCTGAGAAGCTTGATTTGCTAAAGCTTGTGAAGCCATATGTTAAAATTCTTGAAGAACACACTAATAAACATTCAGTTATAGTGGAAAAGAATAGATGTTGGGATATCATAGCAGTTAACTATAATGCAATTGGAGTAGACCGCCCTCCTCGAACAGCGCAGGGCCTACGCACCCTTTACAAAAGGCTCAAAGAATATGCCAAACAGGAGCTATTGCAGCAAAAAGAGACCCAATCAGATTTTAAAAGCAATATTTCTGAGCCAACCAAGAAAGTTATGGAGATGATTCCCCAGATTTCCAGTTTTTGCCTGGTAAGAGACAGGAACCACATACAAAGGTAAGCTTTATTTTGTTTTGTTCTGGAAAATTATGGCGCCTCCTAGCTATTGGGCTCTGGCTTAGTTGTGATAGATGCATAGCAAGCATCCCCACAACGGGAGCAATGAATAGTGTCTTTGTTTTGCATTCTTAAAAAAGAAAAGTGAGGCTAAAAGGAAATTTTCTGCTGATTTAAGCCACTTTTTATTGTCTTCTCTCTCCTCACTCTATAATTGCTGAAAAGTACAGGTTAGCGATGAAATTTGTGACCTCACCTAAAACTTTTTAAGCTGTAAAATTAATTTAATTAGCTCTGAGAGATTTCTTTATCTTATTTCCTCTAAGTCACATTTCATTGGACTTTTCAATTTTATATAAAGGTAACAGTTTTAGGAGAAATAGGGTCCTTGCCATTTTATCAATTGTCACTGTGTACACTTATTGAATATTCATTGAGCAAAAAACTAAAGCCACTAATTAAGCTTATTAATGGCATGACTGTCTATGTTAAAAACAGTATTTTTCTAACATATTCAAAATTAAAAAGATAAATGCAAGGAAAGGAGTTAATGCCTAGTTAGCAGTTCATATTATTTAATAAAAATCAAAGTGTTGTTCTTATTCATTAATGGTCTGGTTTCACTTTGATCTTGGATCATACAATAACCCTGTTTTGCAAGGAATATTAAAATATGATTTTTAAGACACCATTAAGAGTAACTGGGTTATCACAGAGTTAGAAACAGCCTTTTGGTTAATTTTGTGTTCCATGTAACTACTTGCCTGTGATTCTTCAAGACTTACCTTACTACTAATTCAAATTTTAACCCCTGACAAAAGATAAAAGTGGCACCAACATGTTTCCTATGAACCATATTGGGTATTTTAAACAAATAGTAAACTCTTTGTTAATTGAAGGACCTTTCTAACAAAACTTTACAAGGTTCTTTCCTATTGGTAGAAGAGTCATTATATAAGCAAGATTATTGATTACCTGTGAAATCCCTTTGAAGTAAGGAGAGAAATTGGAAAAACCTTTGTGGCCTTACATATTTGCTGCTTTGGTAATTTACTATGATAATTTTTTGTGCCCAGTTTCTTGCCATAGACTGCTTACTTCTGGTTATAATGTAGTAAAAACATATTCACCTTGGGAATTTGGTACATGGATACACAGTGGGGTAACTGCATAAAATGGACAAATGATTAAATCCTAATAAGCTGGATGTCCAGAAACTCCACGGGAAGTTTTTTTTTTTTAAGATTTATTTATTTATGCATACAAGAGCTGGGGTACAGGCCAGAGATGCAGGGGGTGAGAGGATTCACCAGAGACAGAGTCGGGAGCAGAACAGGCAGAATGACTGAAATACACTGCTGAGGGGAGCAGCAGGCGAGACAGGAGAGGTCTGCTGTGCCATGTGGGTTGCTCCCTAGCTGGCTGGGGATCGAACTCGTGCTGCAGAGGCTGCAGATTGCTTCATAATGCGGTGTTTAACCCCTTGCGCCACCAGGGAGGCCCCACAGGAAGATTTTTATACTGTGCTACTCATTAAAAAAAAATTTCCCCTCAAGCCATAGAGAAATGTGGCTTTTACATTATTGGTATAAAACTCCTTTTGGGTATTAAGAATAGGCTTTCATAATTGGAAAACCACACATGGGAACTGTACTTTTAGTTATTTGCATATTTTAAAAGTACAGTGAGTAGATGACATGATATATAATATACAGATACCTGTTTACATTTTGACACCATACCTCCCCCCTACAATCTATCTTTGGGACACCAACATTTCTCTGATAAAACAAGTTAATCTAGTCACACATTTTTCTGTACCTAATATTTGAACAATAACAATTTTTCAGATTTTAAAGGGAAGAATATTAGAAATAAACCATTTAAATGCTTACTAATATTAATGTGTCTATACTGCCATTTTATCTAGTGATTTCATTTTATATGTGTCTAATGTGCTTATGCTTATTTGATTGACATCATCTTGAATCTTAATAATTATCTTAGAAGTTTATGGTTCTGTGATCTTAATTATGCTTTCATGTAAATAGGTTATTTAATTTCACCAAACCCTATTCTTAACAAGGAAAAAATTATTTAATGTATTTAAAAATATATGCATATTTTATAAGGGCATCCCTATTACCTATTGATTTGTCTTTATTTTTACTTCTCTCTAATATGAGATTATATTTTGCATTTTCGTAAACTATTTGATTCTCATAGTTCATATTCATAAATTTTAGAATTTTCTCTACTTTGTTATGCTTTACTTGTAATGTTTCAACTAAAATGGAATATTTCAGATGTAAGCATATTTTTAATTTACGTGGGCATATAATATCTAAATTATGAGTCTTATACTCTGATATATATTTATAAAATATATAAATCTGGAATAGTAATAATGTGAGTTTTTTAAAATTTGATTTTCATCTGTAGTTTCAGTCTTTTTCCATTTCAGGTTTTAGAGATGTTAATAAAAGCAAATCTTACTAATTTGAGTTACATTTATAGTCCATTTTGTTTTTGAAAATGATAAAATAACAAAAAAAGACAAGAATGAAAATGGAATTTAATCTACAAATGTATTTTTTCATAATATACTATATGTCATATCTCATATCCTTTAGCCAAATATCTGCTATTTTTGGCAATTTAATGCTTTACTAAGTAACATATGGGGACTTTAAATCCCCCCCCTTATGTTCTACTTAAACTTGTTCCGTATTTTTAAAATTCCATGTTGCTAAAAGTATAGCATTTTCCATGAATGTTCCAATAATTTCTTTCCCCTCTATAACGTTTATTTTTGTCAGATTGAAGCAAAAATGTAAAAAAACTCTCAAGAAATAAGATTATATAATCTTAATAGTTTCCTGTTATATGTGAAATGATATTTAAAAAAATGTTAGAATTTTAAAAGAACTACACTGCATTTATGTCATAACAAATATTGTTATGTCAAGGTTTAAGTCATGTAGTTGCCGCTTATAGAAATGCTTATCTTATGGAAATACGTGTAAGTTTAATAAACTTTCAATATATCCCACATAGACCATTTAAAAGGACTGCATTAAAAAAAAAAACCACATTTTTTTTCACTCATTTGACATATGAGCACTTACTAGTTTCCAAGTACATTATAATGCTAGGTGTAATAAAATAATTAAAAAAAAGACAAGAATGAAAATGAAGGAATTTAATTTGTGATAGATATAAACCTTTGCCCTTGTGAACTTTGTAGAGCAATGGTGGAAACACTAAAGGATCATCTGAGTCGTGTAGTTTAGTGTAGGTAAAGGGGAAATACCACTGCATCTGATTGAATGGTTTGGACAACTATCTTATAGTTGAACATATCCAAAGCCATGTAGAATCTTGATTTTTATTTTATTTTGCAAACATAGACATAAGTATTTACACTTCTCACAGATGACCTGCTATTATCCTCCTAGAAGTCATGGACCTTGAGGTATTTAGATCAGTCCAGGAGAGCAGGAGCAGGAGGTCAGAGGCTAAGGTGTGGGAACAACGCCTAGAATGCTTGAAGGGGCCCTTTTTAAGAACCTGAAATTTACATGAATGTTGCTGTTTCTAAATTTTTTTTTTTTTATTTACCTCATTGACCTTGTATAGTGTTTATAATTCCCTGTCCTTTCAAGAGCCCAGTTTTAAAGAATGGGAGAGAGCTATGTGTTTATATTATCGAAATCTTAAATATCACTTTTTGTTATCCAGGAGTTAAAATTTTTTTGTTTCATAATTTTTTATAGCTTTAAATATATTAAATATGAGATTATTGTGTATGTGTATATGTACATGTACACATCAACTCCTGTCTTCATTTGATTTATGTTTTATAATGCTTTTTTGTGTGCTGTAGTGCAAACTTGGATGAGGAAGCACAGGCTGGTACCAGTTCACTACAGGTAATGTTGGATCACCATCCAGTTGCTATTACTGTGGAGGTGAAGCAAGAAGAAGATATTAAGCCACCTCCTCCATTGGTTTTAAATTCTCAACAGAGTGATACTTTAGAGCAAAGAGAAGAACATGAATTAGTACATGTTATGGAAAGGTCTTTGTCACCATCACTTTCCTCAGTTGATATGAGAATGACATCGTCTCCATCTTCTATCCCAAGGAGAGATGATTTTTTTCGGCATGAGAGTGGAGAACGCTTTAGGTCACAATTAGGGTATGATCCTCAGATTCTGCAAATGCTGAAAGAGGAACATCAGATAATTTTAGAAAATCAAAAAAATTTTGGATTATATGTTCAGGAGAAGAGGGATGGATTGAAAAGAAGGCAACAGCTAGAGGAAGAACTGCTAAAAGCAAAAATTGAAGTGGAAAAGCTAAAAGCTGTTCGCTTACGGCATGATCTACCTGAGTATAATAGTCTCTAGGATTTCTTTTTTTCAATCTTGCAATTTGAGAATTTTAATTTTGAAATTAAATTGTTTTCATTCAGGAATATCCTGAACCAAAATACATATTCTTAAAAAGTATTGGTAATATCTATTATGAAAAAAACTTGACATGACTTTCTAGTTATTTCATTTGCTTTGGATCTATTAAAACTTACTGATTTGACTCCATGGTTATATGTTATTTTTGTCTTCTCTCACTTTTTTCCTAAGCTATAATTGTTAACCTTATAAAAAGTGCTTTATTTTGATCATAAAAATTAGCATACATAAATACAGGCCAAATACATATACATATTTTTTCATATTTCTTATCCTTCAAGATTTTCAATTAACACTATGAAGGCTGTAATTCAAGGTTTTTGAGTCATTCAAATTTAGAAGCAGTATTTGCCTAATAGAAACTTGTCAATATGACATTGATTTTTATGCTTTCAATATTTGAAGGAATAAGTCCTAGGACTTTAGAGATAGAAGGTATTTGGAGAAGGTATTTTCTCACCAATTAGAGGTAATGAAACTGAGTTGCAGGGGGAACTTAGTGACTTACTTGATGTAACAAAATGATTTATGGCAGAGCAAGGACCAGCATTCAGTTTTTGTTTCTCAAAATTATCTCCTGTCATTCCTTAAAAGTAAAAATCCACTAAAATAGTCTCCATATTTAAAAATTGGATCTATTTATTTTGTTAAAATTGTTTTTAAAGATTGATAGTTTATGAAATCTGGAAAATTGTATCCATTACCCAATGCTTTTTTTATCTAGTAGAACAAACAAGCTATTCTATTGGAGTTATTATATATGTTGACGGTAAGATTTAATATATCTTAATTCACTTAAAATCTTACTCTGGAAGCTACTTTCATGGTAAAAACCACAGTAAAAATTTAGGTGAATAAGACTGAAATTTTACTTAGAATAATATTGTCAAAAAATCATGTTTGTAATATGTGATAGCATCATTAGTCATGCTTTTTGGTACACATTGCTATGTTAGTATTTGTGGAAATAAATAAAAACCTTGATTTTTAAGTTATACATATTTAAATTTATGATAAATCTTCAGTTACTTAAGGATTTTAATTTTTGTTGGAGCTCTGTTGGGCAAAGATTTTTGAGCCAAACTTTAGAATGCTGTAGGTAGAATTTCAACACTATGGATAGAAAGGATGTTTAAGAGTAAATAGCTTAAAAGGCATAGAGATGGAGGAAAGCAAATCAGACTGTACAAGCATAGAAGTAGTGCTAACTCAGGTGATTTAAACGAGTGTAGAGAGAACCAATTAGGCTGTGATAACCTGGATTAGGATATCTTTTCCTTTATTAAATAGGGGTAGCTACTCTTTTACATGCAGGGATAAGCCAGAAATCTACATTTTTATTTGCTATTTTACATATTTAAAATGGTTGCGAATTAGTCAAAATGTTTCTAAAACACTAAACTTGTGAGAGGAACTCATTTACCATTGGGGTTTATAGCCTTTGGAATAGAGCAATCTTGGTCACTTCAGAATTTGTGATTCAGAAACTGGAGGCAAGAATCCAGAAATCTGCCCTTTGGAGACTCTGCTGAAACCAGAAGAGTAGTAGAGTATTTGGAAACCTAACTTGGTGACTGAACCATACTAGATTTTCAAAAAATTTTGTTGAAAAGAGGAGTTGGTGAAAGGGTATACATTTTGGAAGGTGGTTGATGCCAGATTATGGATTACATTAAATGCTTTTTTTGAGGAACGTGAATGTACAATAGGAAGCCATCGCAGGCTTTTGATTAGGGAGCTATGGCTAGAGTTCTATTTTAGTGTTGTAATATCAAGATTTAGGGGTAGTGAGAGGAAATGAAAAATTTAGGTTATGGTTATAGATACAAAAATAAAATGGACACCTTTACACCAATCAACAATAACTTGATTGCTTAATTTTATTGACGGAAATAAAAAGGCATTTTATATCTGCTAGAGTTAAATATTTATTGTAAAAATACCTTGAATGTATAATGTGATAAATCCTTTTGATAATTTCATCTTTTAGCTGTGCTGTGACTTCTTTGAATCTAATGAATCTTATAATTCTAATTTGAAGTTAATGTTTTTACAATATAATTTTAGTAAATTCATCTTTACAGTACTAAGCTTTCTGAAATTATTGAAAGCAATTACAATATGAAATTAATTCATATTACAATCTCACTGTTAATACTCAGAATTGATAATGATTTTTTAATTTGAATGTTGATTTGGTGCCACTAAATCTGAGTTCTGTGTTCAAAAGAGTGCAACATACATTTTTTTCTGTGTCGTCATTAAGTTCTAAAATCAATGTGGAAGGTAAAAATGTATATGTAGAATTGCCCTGAAAATTCTTTTGCTGCCCTTTGAATAGTGTAGACAAGGGCTACAGTCATGTTTTTCTCCAGCATTGATCAAGATAGTTGTTTCTTTGGTTCTGTCAAGTGACATTTATTAGCTTTTAGGAACTGAGTAGGATAAAAAACCCTTTTTTTAAAATATATTTCTAGAAAGACTGTACTCACTGCAGTAAGCTAGGGCAGCTGTTTTCCTGAGTTAGTCTTGTTTGATTTTAATTTGCTCTGTTGTGTAGTCACCCATGTAACAATAATTAGCATAATAAAAGTTTATGAGAATTCCTGTACAAAGGAAACTTTACTTATTTGACCACTCTTTTAGAGGATGCTTATTATCAGAGTATCTTCAAGGAAATTCTGAGCTAATGCTTTTTTGGAGGGTTGGGGGAGCACAGATAATGAAACTTTTGAGTCTTTTGACTTACCAACGATTATCAGCAATTTTTGCTGAGGACAAGTTTCACTAAAGGGAAGGTATAGGAGCAAATTCTGCTAGTACCAATGGGATACAGCTGAAGTTTCCAGATATCCTGCATAGCATAGAAAACTGTGTGGGACTATGAGATTTACCCACAAAATGTAATGCTAGAAAAACAGGGGATAATGATTTTATATTTTAAATGTAGATTTGATTCTGTACAAATACATTAAGTTTGAAAAGTATGGTAAGTCAAAAGATTATTTCAACTAATATGTTAGTAATTTAGGTAATGGATAGGTTCTTTTTCCACCTTTCAATTTTATTCATATGAAGTCAAATGAATACATTGTTACTTTCATGGCTCCTGATTTTTTAAACTTAGATATGATTTATGCATCTTGAAAGAGTTAATGAAGCCCTTTAATATCTAAGAAGTGCCAACAAATTTCTTAAAACATTCAAATGAAGTATTTTTTTGTATAATGAGACATCAACTTGGGTTACTTCATTTTTGAAAGATTCACTTTGCCCTCTTCTGTCTTTATGTGAAAATGTTTAAAATATGAATTGTTTTCCTTGTGCCTTCTTTTAATGTTAATTTTTAGATAGACATTTTAAAATTTAGATTGTAATAAATTGTGTTTAATGTACTGTAGATGATGGTGGCTATATGCTTTGTTAATATATATTCTCTTGAATACAAGGTAATACATTGTACTAATTTGTGTACTCTGTGTGTGCCATGAAACAAAGAATTAATACTACAGAGGTAAAATTTTTGATGAGGCATAACAAATTTATATAGACTGTTGTGTTGTAATAGATACCAAATGTACCATGTCTAAGTATCATAATATATTTATTTTTTCAAATGTCAAGAGACCCATAAATTCTCAAAATCAATTATTTGATGGTGAATTTGGTTGTAAATATTTAAATCATTAGATGAAATATGGTTGCAGTACTTAAGAAATAAGAGTAAATTCTTAATATGTAATCTAATTAAACATAAACATGGATGCTCAATCTTTGATTTTGAGAAACTGGTTCAATATATTTTTATATCTTTTAAATTGTTTTATTAAAATTAGTAATTTGAATTTATTATTTATTTTTAGTTTTTAATTGCTTTGTAAATAATGGAAAGGAAACTGAATAAATAAAAATACCATTCAAATTTGCTTGAATACTTTAAATTAAAGTGAATGTATCACTTAGTCTTATACTTTTTTAGTAGTCTATTGTGCTTTAAAATTGTGTGAATTTGTATCTGTTAGCAAAGACTAAAAAACCCTTCAAACACACAGAAGTTAAGAACTTTATTGTAAACTTTCATATGCTTACTACTTAAATTCTGCAATTAATGTTTTGCTGTATTTGCTTTACTACATATTTACCCATCTGTCCATCCATCAGTTCATTTTTAAAAGAAAACTTATTTCAAAACATTGCAGAATTAGTTTGAACACTTGATCCCTAAATATTTCAGCGTGAATATTATGAACTGGAGTTTATATATATATATATATATATATATATATATATAATTTTTTTTTTTTGGTGTGCCCTTTTTAGGTAAGATTTATAAACAGTGAAATGCATAAATCTTAAATGATGAATTTGAGAAATGATTACACCTTGTAGTTTAAAGCTCTATCTAGATTTAATGGTTTAAACCTCTATCAAGATTTAGATTTATCTCTACCCTAGAAATTTCGCTTCTGCCTGGTCCTAATCAATCCTCCAGTACCTCCTCAGGCAACCACTGTTCTAATTAAAAATAAAAAAACTTAGGGTCTCCCTGGTGGTGCAAGGGGTTAAGTCGCAGCCACTGCAGCACTGCATGAGTTCGATCCCTGACCAGGGAGCTGACCCATATGGCCTGGCACACCTCTCCTTTCTTGCCTGCTGCTCCCCTTACCAGTGTATTTCAGTCGGTCACTCTGTTCCCCACTCTGTCTCTGGTGAATCCTCTTACCCCCCTACCTCTGGACTGTATCCCAGTTCTTGTATACATAAGTAAATAAATCTTTTAAAAAAAAAAGTAGGTAAGTTTTATCTATTCTACAACTTCACATCATTGGAATCATATACTATGTACCTCTATTTGTTTTCTTTCATCCATCTTAATGTTCTTTTATCCACATTCATCTGTCTTAGTAGTAGTTCCTTGCTTTGTGTTACTGAAAGTTTTCCATTGTATAACTGTATTACAGTTTATTCAGCCATTATTTTTTGGTTGACTTCTGTGCTTTTTCCAGATTTTGGCTGTGATGTATAAAGATTATATAAATACTCGTGTCTGATTTTATTATGGACAGAACACTGGGCTAGGGAAGATAAACATTTAACTTTTTAAAAAGTTTTCTCAGTGTATGGATTGTTTCTAATAAAGCTTTGCATGTTCAATGATTGGGGTGACAGAATTAAAATTCATAAATAACTTTCTGGTATTTAAATGCATTAAGAATGCTGGACAGATTGTTTAGATATCTGGTAATAGTTTAATAATTTTTTAAATTTTAACACTGTATACATACTTTGACTTGCAGTATTAAGAAATATGATGGAATGTAAAATTTCTGCCATGCTTGTATCATTCTGAAAATGATCTTTAATGCAAAGAAATATCTAGGTTTATTTTATACATAACTGTACTTAGCTAACATTCAGTCTCTTATTAGATAAAACCATAGATCATTACTAGTTTGAAAGAATTTGTATATTAACGTCTGTTTTTTTTTCAGTGTAATAAAAACTGTTTTAATCTTAAATCTTTATTGCCATTATATACTTTTTTTAGGGTTCAATTGACTTTTTTTATTTTTATATTCCCCATACAATTGCAACCCCCTTATTTTGACACCAATATCTCCTTTCCCCACCCCCCCCATAGTGTGTCTCATAGTTGTTTGTTTACTTTTAATATACATTAAAAGTTCTGGTAATTTTAGAACTAAAAAATACAATTGGTGAGGGTACTTACATTCTTTTTTGAATTTAAGTATGTGAGACATTTTAAATTTTGTTTTCTCTGTTGAAAACAATGTCTATTTAGAATTGTTAGATGAAAAACAAAGAATTATTAAAGGCCTGAATTTAGGGAATGTATAATTAAGGCACCAAGATCTAGGGTGACTATGCTTAGGAGTCTGTCATTAAGATGATAATGTCCACTGTTAATATTAAGATGTCATTATCTCCCTCTTCCTCGTTTATCCAGGCATGATTTTAAGCACCCTTACCTTGTGAATCTTGCAGATAGGCATTCAAATCTCTTGTTGACCATTTTTGGTATTGACTTGGGAAGTCAGGGAAAACGGTCTAGTGGGAAATAGTTTAGAAATAAGTTTAGAAATACAGTTAGAGTACAATTGATTTGGGGGAGTCAGTTTAGGATATAAAAAATTACTATTTTATCTATTGTAGTCTAGATATTGGCAGTTATCGTCCATATATTTAAATCTTAATGATCTTCATTCTACTTTTTGCAATTTTTTTTTAAAGATTTATTTATTTGTGCATACAAGAACTGGGATACAGGCCAAAAGTGTGGATGGTGAGAGGATTCAGCAGAGACAGGGTGGGGAACAGAACAGGCAGATTGACTGAAATACACTGCTAAGGGGAGCTGTGGTGAGTCAGGAGAGGTCTGCTGAGCCATGTGGAAATCTCCCTGGTCGGCCAGGGTATTGAACTCGTGCTGCAGTGGTTGCAAATAGCTTCATAGGTTGCGTCTTAATCCCTTGCACCACCAGGGAGGCGTCTACTTTTTGGAATTTTTCAGCTTCTCTCTTCCCTCCCTGAGCCCTACATTTAAAATAGGTCTAAGTGGAAAAGGGACAATGGAAAGAAGATGATGGTATTTAACATGTATGGAGCACTTACTACATAGCATGTGACTGTTTTACATATATTAGTTAATTTAATGCTCACAACAAATCTGCAAGTAGATAATTAGTATATTCATTTACAGAGCATAAACAAGCACGGGGAGAAGGGGTAAGTAACTTGTTCAGGGTCGCATATCCAGTAAGTGGTAGATTCAAAATTCAGTCCCAGCCAATCTGACTCCATAGTTCATGTTCTTATCCTCCTGCAAGAAAAAGATATATCTGAAAGTGTTACAGTATTTCAATGTTAATTCTAAATAATTTCTGAATTCACAGAAATGAATCTGTTCTGCTCTAATAAATTCTTTGGGGGTGGAGGAGAAGGTCTTGGGCATAAGTTACTATTGTAGGCCCTGGGAATATGATGTTTGGCCCTAGAATATTTTTCCTAGCCATTTTGAGGAAGACATTTTTATCTCCCCTTTATAACAATCCCGAGGAATTGCATTTTTCACTTAGATAAACTAATAAAAACAAACATTTAAAAAAGGTACAAAGTTGTCAGTCTTTTATTCAATGCACACTGAATGCTACTGTTAGGAATAATGCAAAAAGAAAATGAGTAGAAATTGACTAAAATTTCCGAGTTCATAAACTGGTCAAAAACACTCCTGTGTTTTTTGTAAATGCTAAAAACCTGAGAACTATCTGGCAAGATTAAGATTATTGAACAAAAATAATCAATTTGTGACAACTGCCAGTATATCTAAACTCTTATGTTTCTTGACTAAAGATTTATGGAAAAATAGAATCTAGATAATAGGTATGCAAACTTTGACTCAACAAAATTGCATTTAGCAAAAATTATGATTGTAAAAGAACATGTTGGTGAAAGCTATAATCAGTAAAATATGATACATGAAAAAGTGACTGATGGATCAAACTTTTGTTATAAAGTTTACTTGGAAAATAAGCCTGAGGATAACAGTTGATTAAAATGAAAATAAAGTGGACATTGACAGAGATGAATTCACATTTAATTTTTAATGCTACAGTCTCAGAGTTAATCTTAAAATAATTCTGATTTAATTAAACAGTTTAGTAAACATGAAGTAAAAATGTACCTAGAGTCAAAATGGCATGTTGTATTTTTTCTTTTTATTTTACTTTATTTTCTTTTATATATATTTATATTAATTTTTTTTAAATGTTTTACCTCAATGTTCATTTTTTAAACAATATTTGCTTCCCCCAACCCCTCAGGTGTAATCCCTATAGAGTTTCCTTAATGGCATGTTTTAGAAGGTCCTTTCCTTCCCTTCTTCCTCCATTCCCTCTGGTTACTGCTACATTTTTCAACACAGTCTGAGAATTAATTTTGCTGTGCTTTGCCAGTATGTGTTCTTTGGTTATTATATTACACAAATAAGTGAAACCATCTGGTATTTGTCTTTCACGTTCTGGCTTATTTCATTTAGTATAATCACCTCAAGATCATCCATTTTGTCCCCAAAGGCACTATTTCACCTTTTAAAATATATTAGCAGAGTCTGTACTGCTTGTCATTTATCTATACAACTTCTGATTTTTTTTAAAGATTTATTTATTTATGCATACAAGAACTGGGGTATAGGCCAGAAGTGTGGGGGGTGAGCGGAGTCACCAGACACAGAGTGGGGCACAAAACAGGTGGATTGACTGAAATACACTGCTGAGAGAAGCAGCGGGCAAGACAGGAAAGCTCTGCTGAGCCATGTGGGTCACTTCCCTGGCCGGGGATTGAACTTGTGCTGCAGTGGCAACAGATAGCTTCATAGTGCTGTGTCTTAACCCCTGTGCCGCCAGGGAGTCTCCACAACTTCTGATTTTTTCTTCCTCCCTTTTAGTGTTTTGTCCTCTCATTCTTTTTTACAATTCTGCTTCTGTATTCCTATTTACATTGTGCTCAAAGTGTTACATTTTGTCTTGTTGTGTAGAAAATCTCCTTTCAACATTTCTTGTAGGGCAGGTCTGGTGGTGGAAAACTCCATTAGCTTTTATTTATCTGGGAAAGCTTTTATTTCACCTTCATATTTGAATGATAGTTTTGCAGAGTAGATTATGCTTGCATGGCAATTTTTGTCTTTTAGGATTGTGAACACTTCATTCCACTCTTCTACCATGGAGGGTAACTGCTGAGAAATTTGATGAGAGCCCCGTGGAGGGTTTTTTTTGTATATTACTTTCTTTTTTTTTTTCTCTAGCAATCTTTAATATTTTTCCTATGTCTTTAACTTTTGACAATTAAATAATGTGTCTTGGTGAGGTCATTTTGCATTTAAAAATTTGGCTGTATTTTTGCTTCTTGGACACACATGTTTATTTCTTTATTTAGGCTCAGGAAGTTCTTAACCATTATTCCTTTGAATGGGATCTCTTCACTTCTCTCTCTTTTCACCTTCTGTAATATACTTCATCCTTATGTTTCCTCTTCAAATAAGACTGGTATTTCTTGTAGAGTTTCTTCATTTTTCCTCAGTTTTTATTTCTTCTTCCATTGGTTTGTACATTTGTTTCTTTTATTCCTGAAGTTTTGTTTTCTACCAGCTGGATTATATTTAAAATATTTTCCATATTCCTCCTCATTTCATTTGTGTCTCTTTTTGTGATCTTCACTGACTTTAGTGAAGAACTTTTTTTTCCTGGTTCTCTTTTCTAAGATCCTGTAACTACCTTTTTGCATTTGACCTTCCGGAACCTCTTAGCATTTAAAAATTTCATATTCTAAAATCTTTGTTAGGTCCTCTATTCTTTGTCTTTTATATATGTCTCTGGACTTATGTTCTCCTACTTTTTCATCTTATTTTCATATGTTCCTTGCTTCCTTGTTATATGTGTTGCCTTTTTTGCTTTTCTCTTTGGGGTGCTGTGTGTTTGGTTTTGTCTTCTTTGTTTAACTTTTCAACAGCTAGGGAGGAAGGGAAACTGGATCTCAGTTCTAGTGGGGAGGGAGGGGCGCTGCAGGCCTATATATAGATCACCTCTGCCTCCTCTCCTGTGTCTCCAAAGCAAGCTCCACTCAGTGCTACAGGGGCCCTAAATTCCCATCTTGCTTCCTTCATGTTCATCTCTACTGCATGGGGCATATTTCACTAAGTTCGAGTCACCTGGAAAAGGACACCTGGAGTGACTGCAGGGAATGAACAGCCAGACACAGGTATCTTGCACTGCTATTCAGGGAGTGCTAGGACTGGGCTGTGGGACATGTGAGGCCCAGCAATGGTTATTGCTGCCAGGTGAGGGGCCTAGATCTCAAGGCCTCCATGGATCTCTGATGTAGGTCTCATTGCAGGGTATAAGGGTAAGCCTGCAGCCAAATTACAGAATTAGAACAGCTCCTGGTGGTGGTGATGGTATTACAGGACACGAAGGGGCACCTCTGAATCCCCAACCTGTAGTGTGGTCACTGAGCATCCCTCTTTTTCCACTGGGAGGGGAGATAGTATTGCGTCTGTCAGCAGCTGAACCCATGGCACCTTCCTGTCTGTTCCATTCTCTCTGAAAAGTCCATTATACTCCAGTGTGTAGGACTGGAGATTGGGCCCTACCTTATCTGCAGACCTGGATTTCTGCAGTAGTGTCATGACCTCCTTCACCTCTTCCCTTTCTGTACCTACAGCAAGTCACCAGCCTCTCAGCAAAATCTCCATGTGAAAGTACTTTGTCTCTGCTGATGAACCTCTAAATCTTTTGAGCAAACTTTATTCTAGTTTTATATTCCTTTAATTGTGTTTAGGGAAGAGCATGATCTGAACCTCTATTCAACCTCTATTCAACCTCTAAGTTGTGGGTCCTGAAGGGTAATTTTAAAAATGAAAAATGTAGTTAGAAAAAACATTGGTAAAGGTGATATATTGCTGATATGTGTAGTGAAGCAGGTACACTGTTCATTAGAGGGAACATCACTAGTAAAGACTTTTGGGAGTAAAATAGGCCAGTCTAAATCAAGAGTCTGAAAATCTGATCCCTTTGGACCACTAATTTCATATCCAAGGATTTTATCTTGAACAAATAACCAGATGTGCACAAAGATTGAGTATAATAGTAAAAAAACAAAACAATGTTTAACAATAGGGGACTGATTAAATAAACAACCATACTTCCTTCTAATAGGATATCATGCAGAGACCAAACACCATTTGGATTATCATGCAGAGACCAAACACCATTTAGATACTAAATCTAATCACATGGGAGATGTTCACAGTAATATAAGAAAAGTAAATTTTGAATTAATAGATAAGCTACAGTGTTTTTGCTTCAAAATGCTAAAAGATAATATTTAGAATATTATATACATACCTTCAACCTATTAGGCTATTGTTTTAAAATCTATTTTTAAGGTTGTATAGCTTTTAAATGATCAGTGATGATTTTTGTTAATTGTATATATTTGTACAACTACCATTCAACAAATTCCCTCCTAACTCTTTCCAGTCAATCCCACTTCACAGACTTCATGCACTTTGTAGTTTCTACCCCATAGATTAATTTCCTTGTTGCTCAAGAGTTTTCTGTCTTAGATTATTTTGTTGTGTTTTTGTATGTTGATACTGGAAATCTTTTCAAGAAAATCACAGACTTTTGTAAGAAGAAACTTTTTATTTCTTGGGTATATACTCAAATTCTCAATCAGTGGCCCAACCTGATTACTGCAAAACTAGGACCAAAGTATTTTAATAAAAATTAAATGTCATTCCTACCTTGTTGTTTTGCATTGTTCTCAGTTGAAAAAATTATAGGTTTTTCTTTCAGAGAATTCATGATGTTGTTTTACTTTCCCCTAGATTGTCATGTCACTGTTAATTAAATCAGTTTGTTCAAAATGTGATTTTAGAACATTTCCATGCTATGGATGCTGAAATATTTTCTTTAATTCTTAGGGTCTTAAAATGTTTGTTATGGTTATTTTATGTTATTCTACTTCAGTTGAGTAGAATATGCTTTTGGGATGGTAAGAAATTTATATTCATTGTACTCATGGTAATACTAGCACCTGATATTTGAATTTCTCAATTTTAAAATGTTAGCATGATATGATGAAATATTCTTTCATACTTCTTAATACAGCCTTATTTTCTTGTGCTTTGTTTTCGTTTGACCTCACTATTTTATTTTTTTATTCTAGTTTATTCAGTTCCTAGAGAAGTAACAGAATCTAAAGGTCAAGAAGAGGAACCTGATAACCTAGTTAAATATTTCAGTGTTGTTTGGTGTAAGGCTTCAAAGAAAAAGCACAAAAAGTGGGAAGGTGATGCAGTTCTTATTGTAAAAGGAAAGTCATTGACATTAAAGGATTTGGAAGGCAGAGACATTGGAAGAGGTATTATAATGTTACTTAATGTTTATGATTTGGCCTAAAATTAGTATATTATCTGGTAATTTAAATATATTTGGATTTTATGAAGGGGAAGATTAAGATGTTTAAATTCAGTTTTACATCTAAATTGTCTCATAAACACAAAAGTGTCTTATAATAATTAGTGTGACCATCCTAGGTATACTAGCTCAGTGAGACAAGTTCCAACCCTTTGATTCTTTTTGTCCAAAAATGGCCATCCAGGTAATTAGTTATTTTGGCATTTTTCTGAGATTAAGTAGTTGTATTAGTTTGTTTTTTTTTCTCTTTTCTGGCAGAATGCTAAGTGATTACGAGTTAAAAATTTGTTTATATCAGACATGTACAGTATGTAAACTCAATGATAATACAATTTTGAAAAAGAGCAAGGAGATAATAGCTAGGCATGACTTAGATTAATACATCTAAACTGGAAGTCACCATTACTTATACTGATATGATTTGTAGTAAATCAAGTATACTTACAAATTCAGAATGCCTAATGCCAACCATGTCTTTTTTTTTTAAATAGTCTCTTGTTCAGTGTTGAGTGTAGCCCATAATTATAAAATATGTTCTGCATATTCATTCTTTTCAAAATGTCATAGTTTATCCTTTTAGGTAATTCTTATGTGCCAAGCATTATGTAGGAGTAAACATTCAAGATGTATAGTTTAGTGGGAACAGGACAGTATAATTGACAGTTAACAAGCAGTAAGATAATTGTTTTAATGAGAATTTTTACCAAGTACTGTAGTATCATAGAAGGACCATGAAATTCCACCTAAGAGAGTAGGAGAAAACTTTGTAGAAGTCATTATTTTAGGTACTATTTGAAGGATGAGTAGTTTTGTAGGGTATGAGAAAAAAGACACACATTGGAAAGAATAGCATATGCTATGGCAAAAAGACAGGAGAGAAGTAAAACTATTTCTTGAGGTAATGTTGATTTACAACCCTGTATATGTTTTTGGGATGTAAGTTCACACCTCTCATGCCTGTTTAGTGAAATTATATTCCAAAGCCAGATAGAGAGTTAAAATATTATAAAATGGCCCTGGACTATTTTATTGATAAAGTAGAATATACATGGTTTTATATTTGGATAGTTTATAATAACATGATCTTTCACTTGCAAGAAGTAAAAAAATGCAAATTAGGGTTTAAACTGTCAATTTACACTATGTAAGTAGAATCACCTTAGGTGCTTTAAAAAAAATGCCAGTCCCAGATCAAAAAGAAGTGGTACATATACACAATGGAATATTACTTAGCAATCAAAAAATATAAACTCATGCAATTTGCAGCAACATGGATGGAGCTGGAAGATATCATGCTAAGCGAAATAAGCCAGAAAGAAAAAGAAAAATACCAGATGGTCTCACTCATAGCAGGAATTTAGAAAACTTAAATAAGGGACCAGGAAAAAGACTATAATAAAATCAAAATCAAAATCAACAAGCAACTATAAACCAGAGACACTCTATGGCGGGGGAGGGGAGGAGGGATTAGGGTCAAAATAAGGGGGGTGGGAATTGTATGGGGAATATAACCAAGATGAAAATGCATACTTATGCAAAAATGAAAAATGATGTAAAAAATATATAAAATTAAAAAAAATTATCCAAAAAAAAAAAATGCCAGTTCCTAGATCCTGCCCTCTGAGGGTGTAATTTACTTGACCTGGATATTGGGGAGAAGCACTAAGGATAAATATATTTTAGATTTCCAGTAAAAGTTGAGAACTACTGTTTTATTTTTGTTTAAATATTTATTTATTTATTTATTTATTTATTTATTTATTTATTTATTTATTTATTTATACAAGCACTGGGTACAGTCAGAAGCGTGGGAGGGTGAGAGGATTCACCAGAGCCAGAGCAGGGAGCAGAGCAGGCAGAAGGACCGAAGTACACTGCTGAGGGAGCAGCGGGCAGCAGGAGAGGTCTGCGAGCCATGTGGGACCCTCCTCCGGTGGCTGGGGAGCAGCCGGGGATCGAACCTGCGCTGCAGAGGCTGGGGGCAGCTTCGCAACCCAGCGCTCAACCGCTGCGCCACCGGGGAGGCCTGAGAACTACTGTTTTAAACATTAAAGAGGATTTTATTGACTTTCCAAATGGAAATATATGAACATAAGACTTGGTTGCTTAATTATAAAATTAATAAATGTGTCAACCTGGAGTCAATTTTGCAAGCTATTGCCTGTAATACAAGCAGTTTATCTTTTAAATAAGTTGGATATACAGAATTTAATGTTAATGCAGGGATGGAGACTCTATAAAAACTGAAGGCTGGGAACCTGCCATTTTCTAGAAAATTGGCAAAATGACCAACACAAAGAGAAAGAGGAGTGACACTTGCTATATGTTGCCTGGGCCTCTTAGAAAAATGGAGTTGTTCCATTTGCATGTAGACATGCAAATCTACAAGAAAGGTGATATTGTAGATAGTGGGGCGATGGACTCTGTCCAAAAAGGAATGACCCACAAATGTTACCATGTCAAAACTGGAAGTCTCTAATGTTACCCAGCATGCAGTTGAAATTATTGTAATACAAACAAGGATTCTTGCCAGGAGAATTAATATTGATATGGATCACATTAAGCACTCCAAGAGCTAAGATAGATTCCTGAAATGTGTGAAAGAAAATGATCAAAATTAAATTTAAGAAAAAATGGAAGGCAAAGAGAAAGGTATTTGGGTTCAACTGAAGTGCCAAGCCTGCTGCACCCACAGAAACACACTTTGTGAAAACCAGTGAAAGTGAGCCTGAGCTTCTGGAACCCATTCTCTGTGAATTCATGCCATATTAGGTGTGAAAATAAGAAAGACCTCTGGACTATAAAAAGGCAAAAAATCAAAAAGCTGAAGGCCCGGCATGCTAAAATGACTGACAGCTTTGGATAATGGACACAATTAGCTGTCATTGCACAATACTCAGCAAAAGTGTGGGGAAGAAACTATGGAGAGGTTTTTTTTTTTAAAGATTTATTTATTTATTTATACAAGCACTGGGTACAGTCAGAAGCGCGGGAGGGTGAGAGAATTCACCAGAGCCAGAGCGGGGAGCAGAGCAGGCAGAAGGACCGAAGTACACAGCTGAGGGGAGCAGCGGGCGGCAGGAGAGGTCTGCGCACCATGTGGGAGCCTCCTCCGGTGGCCGTGGAGCAGCCGGGGATCGAACCGGCGTTTGAAAGGCTGCGGGCAGCTTCGCAACCCAGCGCTCAACCGCTGCGCCACCGGGGAGGCCCACTATCGAGAGTTTTAAGGAAGTCTTCTGGAGATTTAGAGACATTTGAGAGTCATCATTATGGGTCAGGGAACTAACCCACATGGTGCAGAAGACATCTCCTGTTTTGCCCACTGCTCCCCTCAGCAGTGTATTTTCAGTAGATCAGCCTCTTCTCCCCACTCTGTCTCTGGTGAATCCTCTCACCCCCTGCACCTCTGGCCTACACCCCAGTTCTATGCAAAATAACTAAAATAAATAAAAATCTTCAAAAAGAATAATGAAAAAAAGAAGATAAAGCTATAATCTTCATTAATATGGAGAGGTCAAGATTACTTTGAATTGAGATAGTTTGGGGAGTGGAGGATTGGGTCTTTGGCATTTAGGAATATCAATTAAGCAGTTGCTTTCTGTACCGGAACATTAAATTTATAGAATGCTCCATCATAATTTAAAAAATTTATTATTAGTTATATATTTGCACAGGGTGTAAAGTTTAGTCCAGTTTTAATACTGTAAAATATTGCAATTTCCAGCCATTTTAAAAGGGTCATATTTTCTAATATACCAGTGTTATTTTTTGTTTCCTAGGGACTTGAAGAAGTTTATGGTATATAAAACTCTTGCCTCTCAACATGACATTAACTATAAATTTAATGTAAATAAGCACATGAATCACAGTCTAAAATCCCATGACTTTATCTGGTTAATGAACTCATTTTGAGCAAAGGGTGACTAACACTCATTTATATTCCATCATCAGCACCTTAGTTAATGTCCATTGAATGAATAATTATTAAAGTTTGATATAGAAAATATCCCACTATTTAGTCAAGAATTGGAGAACTTGGACTATCAGTGGCCCCTTGATACAACTGTATTTAACTTTGCTGTTTCCTGTGGGACTGCAGTACTGGTTGTAGGTGGGAGTTGATTTTATTGTTGGTTCTTCACATTTCTGGGTGTCACAAGGAAGGGGGTTGCAGATAACCAAAGCTTCTTAGCTTGCTTATCTACATGTGAGATGGCAAAATTATGACTATTTTCGATAATTAAAAGAAGTCTTGCTTTCTCTAAAATGTGGCCACTTTTTATAGCTACACTATTTATTTCTTCTGAGTTTTTAGCTTTTTTCTTACCAAAATGATAAATTATGTTTTCATTCTGGCTAGTGGATTACATTAGTTTATTTGTATTCAAAGCACTGTTTTCATTCTGCATAGTTATGGCAGATGCCCATGGTATCACTAAGTAAATTATCTAAAGCATTGGTAAATTAAACTAATGTTGTCCTTCTCAATTTAAAGGCACTGGATATAAATTGAAAGAGCTTGAAAAGATTGAAGAGGGCCAAACAATGATGATTGGTGGAAAGGAAATAGAAGTGATGGGTATAATCTCTCCAGAAGATTTCAACAGTGGCAAGTGCTTTCAGCTTGGAGGAGGAAGTCCTGCTATGTCGACTCCTCAAGCTGCCATGAAGTGTTTCTCTAACCCTTTCAAACAAGTCTGTAAACCAAGTTCAAAGGAAAATAAACAGAATGGTTTCCAAAATTGTAAGCCACGTCATGACCCACATGCACTAAGTAAGATTTAAAAAATAATTTGAATATTATATTTTTATTGTCTGAAGATTTTTGTTATATGCATTTAAAGTCTAACTCTTCAGGTTTTCAGGGGGAAGTATATATTTTTCAGATATACAATCTTACATAAAATACTATACATGTGTGAAGGAATAACATACAAATTGTAGATGAATGTACATATACGTACATCTGTATGATTTTGAATAAAATCTGACATCTTTAATAAGGAGAAAAATTGGTAATTTATAAAACAGGAATATTTTAAAACTTCTGTTTTGAAGACCATATGCCTTGATCACATGCATTAGTGTATTAACGTGCTGAATGGTGAGCTATCAAGTACAGAATTAAAATTTTACCTGTGAGAATTCAGTTTTCACATCAATAAATTTAATTTGAAATCACATTAAAAGGGGGCCTCCCTGGTGGCACAAGGGGTTGAGACACAGCACTATGAAACTATCTACCACCACTGCAGCACGAGTTCGATTCCCCGGCCAGGGAGGTGACCCACATGGCGCAGCAGACCTCTCCTGACTCGCCCTCTGCTCCCCTCAGCAGTGTATTTCAGTCAGTCCAACTGTTCTGTTCTACACTCTGTCTCTGCTGAATCCGCTCACCCCCCCCACCTCTGGCCTGTACCCCAGTTCTTGTATGCATAAATAAAATAAATCTTAAAAAAATCACATTAAAAAAAGGAATGTAGTATGTTTCTGACTTATTTCTATTGTTTACTCAGCAAGTATTTCTTTTTTTTTTTTTTTATATCAGGAGGAAATCCAGATGACTTTTTTAGTTGAGTTTTGGGGGTTTTTTTAGATTTTTTTTTTTTAAGCAGAACAAGTTTTATTTGATCACAGGTCACATGTGGGGATGTCATTTAGCGCAATGTGTTATCAGCAGTAAACAATACATTTTACATAGCCACCTAGAACTAAGATATAGCTAGCTAGCTAGCTAGCTAGCTAGCTAGATTGATAGTCACAATATAAAATGTTATGCTTAGCGTAACCAGTGGTCAAACATTTTGAAATAGACTACCCTAAATGCCAACATGGCATTTGTCTTGATTTAAAACATGCCTTAGTGTATGATGTCCAGTCAGTGCTATTCACACCGATGTATTCTCCATTTATGGCTAAATGGACTGCTTGTCTATGTGTCATGCATGCATGCTGATAAGCTGTATTCTTTTCTAGTCTGTGTCTTTTTTTTTTTAAATAATAAATTTTATTTTTATATTCCCCATACAATTGCAACGCCCCCATTTTGACCCCAATCCCTCCCCTCCCACCCCCCCACCCCCCAAAAAGTGTCTCTGGTTCATAGTTTTTTGTTGATTTTGATTTTCACTTTCTTATAGTTATTCATTTTTCTGGTCCCTTATTTAAGTTTTCTAGATTCCTGCTATGAGTGAGACCATCCGGTATTTTTCTTTTTCTTTCTGGCTTATTTCTCTGAGCATGATCCCTTCCAGCGCCATCCATGTTGCTGCAAATTGCATGTGTTTATCTTTTTTGAATGCTGAGTAATATTCCATGGTGTATATGTACCACATCTTCTTGATCCAGTCATCTATTTTTGGGCATTTGGGTTGTTTCCAAAGCTTAGCTATTGTAAATAGTGCTGCTATAAACATAGGGGTGCAGTTGTTCTTTGGAATTGATGTTTCTGTGTCAGCAAGTATTTCTTGACTGCCTTTTCTGCATTGACCCAGAGGTAAAACTGTCATCATAGGACATCCTATTTGGTGAGAAGACAGACTTGAATTACAGGGTAGTGGATATGGAAATTGGAGAATTAAGCGAGCTTATTTCTTAATAGTAGTAAAATAAAAGCATATAAAATAGCATAATTATCTATTTTCCCTTCTTGCAAGTATTATGGAAACAAATTTTGAGATAAAGGGACCTTTGAGATCATTTAGATGAGTCCTTCAGTTTGCTTATGAGGAAACAGACCCAGAATGATGAACTGACTTAACCAAATTCAAGTACTTATTTGCATAATTTGGATAAAACCCTCAAATTAGAAATTTGCAGCTCTATATTAGCAGATCAGAAATTTAATTGAAATATAGAGTAGAAACTTATCCTGATTTTGTTCCCCTAGGTTTTGTAAGAACCCTCCTCTCATCCTTATTTACCTTTCTTTTTTGCCATCATATTACTTAATAGAGGCCTGTGGGAAACTGGAAAGAATACTGTGCTTATTCAAGAACTGGATTAGTCTTGGTTTTGTCACTAAACCAACTGGTTTCTTGACCTGTTGTGGCAGTTGTTGACCTCACTAATGTTTTGCCTGCTCATGTGTAAAATGTGGGCCCTAACAGCCGTAGAGACTTAGAATCACTGGTATATACTGTGAACAATGAAAGCCCTTTGTATAAGTGGTAAATGGATGATCATTCTCGTATATTTATTTTATCTAACTAAGGGTAGAGTTAGATTGCAGAATTAAAAAACTTAAGCATGAGAGATTTTGTTAGTATTTAATGATGCCATATCATTGTGAAGGTAGAGAGGCATCTTAAACTTTGTGATGGTTTAGATTTTATCTCTTGAAGATGGGCACTTTGTTAGTTGACTTGTGGTCCTATGGCTTGAGCAGTATATGGTCTTCATCTCTATCTTCTCTTTTTTTCTCCTTGTCCTTTTGAAAAAAAAATAATGGGGTCATTTCTTGGTTGGAAACCCACAACTCTTCCTTTGTTACTGGGATATAGAAGAAAGCCAAGAACTGAATTTTCTATTTTCACTCCCTAATCCCCTACCTACCAGGAATTGACCTAAAAAGTGAGAATTCCTTTTAGTTGCTCAGAAACCTAGGAAGATCCACAAAAAACTTTCCTCTGGGTAACTGTTAATGGTAAACATGACCAGACTCTCATTACCATGACTAAATATATATGCATTTTGGATATATATTTAATCTCCTGGGACCATTTTTTTTTTTAAATCTCTCCTCTTGTTCTTGTCCTCTTTTTTTCTCCTTTTTGCTAATTTTTAAAATCTGTGTCATGATTTAGACATATAAATATATCCTTAAAGTAGTATTGATTGGTTTATTATATGAATTCAGATCTGTCAATTGAGACCTGCTTTCTATTTTGATTTAGTATATTTTGGTGATATTTTAATAAATCTTTTAAAATGTCTTGGTGTAGTTCTTGAAAATTACGTTATTCTTCAATGGTTATTTCATGCAGATTTGAAAAGATTCATGAATTTGACATTCATGAATGTAGTAATTAACTTTAAGCAAACAATGGAAAATTAGTCATTCTTTCTCACTTCTGATTAATGAGTAATGGTCATTGTTGGTGAACACAGGGCTGAAAATAATGGGTGCCTTTATGTTCAGTTTGAGAAACCTTTCCAGAATAAGGAACTAAGCATGAGCAAGTACCTCTGGGCAAAATTCCAACCTGTGCTTTCAGTTGGAGAGTTCTCTTTGCTCTGAATACTGAACTATTAAATGTTGTGGCTCACTGAATTACTCATTAGACAATAGTGGATTTCAGTGATTTTGAAGCAATTTTGGGCATATGAAGTTTAGACACTTTTGTAATTCGTTGCATGAAATCTTATATGAATAAGGCATGGGATTTTAAAATTTTTTACCATAATTTTATTAGCATAGTGTTACCAAATTCCAATTTTTTTTTTGTCACCAACAATGGCAAACAGTTTTATCTTGTGGGTATCTAAAACTAGATAATGTAGTTGCTGACAACATGAAATTGCAATACATTTATAATTATACTTAACCTTTTTCTTGAGATTCCCTTGTTATGCTACGACCCGACAATAATCACCAGCGGCTGTTCAATAAGAGCCGTTTGCCTGTTGTGGATGTAGTGATAGATCCTCACCTTGTGTATCATCTTCGACCACATCAGAAAGAAGGAATCATATTTCTTTATGAATGTGTAATGGGAATGAGGTATGAAAATAATTTGTTTAGATTAATCTGAGCTTTGTTTTTACCTTTGACATAATGGTTTTCTAGGAAGACCTTGATATGGTGAGCCTCGGAGTCTGCGTCAATTTTAGATGGTAGGAATGCTGAGTGGTATTTGATCTGTGTATTTATTCCCAAAATGGTTCTTTATGGATCCCATGTGCCAGAAAACTTGCTAAGAGCTGGGCATACAGCAGTCAGGACCATCGTCTTCACTCTGAAGTAGCTTATAAAGCATTTGAGAACATAAATACAGTCAACCTTAATGTAGTATAACAGCTCACTACTATTATGATAAAGGGTTATGGGGTGAAATGGAAGAAGTCTTTAATTTTGCTTATAAGGATTTTTGAAAAAAGGTTTTCTTCTAATTTCTAGGAATTTTCCCCCAACCTTTTTTGTAGTTTTTTGATTAAAGAATTATAGTATTCTCCGTTAAAGATACTTTGAAAAACACACACACACACATATACACACACACACTCACCAATAAGAAATAGAATGAATTGACAAACTGTACTTTCATTTTGGTGATATTCTTAATTCTTTTGGACTCTGTAACTTTATATATATATATATATATATATATATATATACACATATATATATATACACACACACACACACATATATACACACACACACGGATACCATGTGTATATATACACGTCATAGATATATATACATCATAGCTTTAAAAACTATGAGCTAGCATAAAATGGCACTTGTTAATAGTTCTTGTTATATTTAATTTTAAATTGCTTTAACTTAATAGGCTTACTAAATTATGTGTTTGAGATTAAGGTAAGCATTTAGTGTTAACTTTTTCTTACACTTATATTGAAGATGAGTTCTTTGGTTGGGAACTCTACTTCCAGAGAATCATAATTAGCTCAGTAGGTCTTTCTGGTTATTACAATATATTTTAAACAGTTTTGAGATCTATAGTGAAACTGATAAAATTTCCTTTAAATGTAGAGGTGAAATATATATGACAATAACGATAATTTAGACTAAAGTTTCTAATTTCAGATTTGTTTAAGTAATTTAATTGACAATTTATAATTATTAAAGATGCAAATGAAATGATTATTAGGATTCAGAAGAGATATATTGTAACTCAGCCAAGGGAAAAACTAGAAAAAGTGCTTGGGAGGGGGGTAGAATTTGTCCTAATTATAAAATATTTCTGATTCTCATTATTTTTGTGACGATGTTAGGGGAAAAATATATTTCTATTGTGATTGAAGTATAATTATTTCTAACAGAGTTAATGGCAGATGTGGAGCTATTCTTGCTGATGAAATGGGATTAGGGAAAACACTGCAATGTATCTCACTCATCTGGACTCTACAGTGTCAGGGGCCCTATGGAGGCAAGCCAGTTATAAAGAAGACACTTATCGTCACACCTGGAAGCTTGGTGAATAATTGGAGGAAAGAATTTCAAAAATGGTTAGGAAGTGAAAGGATCAAGATATTTACTGTTGATCAGGTAAGAAACTTAAAAGTTTAGCCTGGTCATTTTCTGAATCTCTAGCTTCTCAAATCAATATTGTAGTTTTTCCTCTCTCTCTGTATCACAGTTTTTTTTTTTAAAGATTTATTTATGTATTTATACAAGAACTGGGGTACAGACCAGATGCACGGGAGGGTGAGAGGATTCACCAGAGACAGAGCAGGGAACGAACAGGCAGATTGACAAAATACACTGCTGAGGGGAGCAGCTGGGGAGACAGGAGAAATCTGCCCTGGCATGTGGGACCCTCCCTGGCCGGCCATCATCCAACCTGCACTGCAGAGGCTGTGGACAACTTCACAGTGCTGCGTTTAACCGCCTGCACCACCAGGGGAGGCCCCATATCACAGTTTTTTAAGTATATATAGCTCTCCGACTCCTTTACAGGAAAATGGAATCTTGCATACAATTTGGTTTTGGGTTAACTTGATTATTGTTTGTCAGCTAAATACTGCTTAAATTTGATTTCACATAGTTGTGCTTTTTTTTTCTTTTTTAGAACCACAAAGTAGAAGAATTCATAAAATCTCCATTTTATTCTGTTCTTATCATTAGTTATGAAATGTTGCTTCGTTCCCTGGATCACATCAAGAATATAAAATTTGATCTTTTAATCTGTGATGAAGGGCATCGTTTGAAGAACAGTACCATTAAGACAACTACAGCCCTCATTAGTCTCTGTTGTGAGAAAAGAATAATTCTAACTGGTCAGTATTTACTTTTGGGGAGATATGAGGACATTTTTTGCTTAGTGCACATATAAGATGATGGCTGGCATCCAAAAAATTGGTGGTGTTGGATAGAGTTCATACCAACAAATGTAAGCTAATTGAGACCTGGTAAGATTCTGAATCATTAAATCCCTTTGTAATTATTTGCAATCCAGATTTTGAATTTTTTTGAGGGATAAGCACAATAGTACTGTGGAAAATAATATGGGAGATGGGACTTGACTGCCTGTGCTTGATTTTTTTTTTTTTTTAATTTATTTATTGGGCCTCCCCTGGTGGCGCAGTGATTGAGCGCTGAGCTGCGAGGCTGCTGCAGCTTCTGCAGCGCTGGTTCATTCCCTGGCCGCCAGCGAGGGTTCCACCAAAAAAAAAAAAAATTATTTATTTATGCATGTAAGAACTGGGGTACAGGCCAGAGGTGTGAGAGGTGAGAGGATTCATCAGAGATAGAATGGGGAGCAGAACAGGTAGATCTACTGAAATACACTGCTGAGGGGAGCAGTGGGCGAGTCAGAAGAGGTCTGCTGTGCCAGGTTGGTCACCTGCTTGGCCAGGGATCGAACTTGTGCTGCAGTGGCTGCAGATAGCTTCATAGTTCTGTGTCTTAACCTCTTGCGCCACCAGGGAGGCCCCTGCCTGTGCTTGATTATTGAGTTTGACATTTATAGGTGTGCAACTTTGGACCAGTTAATTTACCATCTGTTGACCTCAATGTCCTTACTTATGAAAGAGGACTAATAATATTATCTACTTCATGGAGTTGTGAAGATCAAAGGAGTTAATCCATGTAAAGTTCTTAGAAGGCTCCCTAGCACATGTATGTTTAATGAAATACCTATTATTTTTGGTATGTATGTGCTACATGCATATGGTTTATTGATGGCCAAACCTCTAGCCCAGACTATCTGGAAAGGAGGGATGAGCCATGTGTAAATACGAGAATTCTTTTCTACCTACTCCTTGTTTTTTTAAATAATTTTTAGTAAGGTATCATTGGTTTTACAACACTGTATATGATCCAGAAACATAGGATCCCACCTCTTCAGGGATATGTTATCACACTAAACCCTGCCTATTCTTTTTTTAGCTTAAGATCCGGACTAGAAGCATACCTGAGTACCTCAATATAGCTTTTCTTCCACACCTTACCTGTGGCCCTTCCATTTTACTGTTCTGGCAGCAGATGAAAGAAGAGAGTTGTATTCATTACTAATAGTTATAAACCCCCCATTTTCTATTCATAACTCCATTTCCCTACTTTGTTCAAGTGTCTTGGAAAGAATGGGCAGAACATGATTTTTCTTATTCTATCAGGTTCTCTTATGTCATTTTGTCCTTTGTGTGTCCTTACTGCCTATCAGAGCTCCTTTTTGAAGTTAAAATGAGGAGAGGAAAAGGTTGCGGCCAACAGTTTATTCCTTCATTTACATCTTTAGGGTTGAAATGTGTCCCAGGACAACAGAGAAAACTCTGTGTACTCATGTATACAGTATTGTGTATATAATAGATGTTCAAAAGTTTTCTAAGAGTCAAAGAAAAGTAATTTTGACTTTGTTTCCTGGTTTTATCTAGCCCAATGATGTGGAGAACTTTTAGTTAATATATATTGGAAAATGGTCAGGATTCTATTTGATTAATAGAGATGAATTAGACTGCTAGGACTGCAGTAACAAAATACCACAGATTGGGTAACTTAAAAACAGAAATTTGTTTTCTTACAGTTCTGGAAGCTGAAAGGTCAAGATGAGGGTATTGGCAGGTTTGGTTTCTCCTGAGGCCTCTTTCCTTGGATTGTAGATGACCGTCTCATGGTCTGTCCTCTGTCTGTGTGCATTCTTATTGTCCATTCTCCCTATATTAATCATTGTTATAGATACTTTCAAAGGTTTAACAAAATGCATGTCAATATGCCAACATAAAGAAATATTTTCTCTAATGCTTTCTATGATGTATCTAAAAATTTGGGACTGACTAGATATGTCAAAAAAATTAATAAGCATTGATCCAACCTGGTGTCAACCCATTTAGCTTTGAGAGAAGTGGTCATTAACCGCCCTGACAATTATAAAAGTCATGTTAATGAAATAAGTGCACCGTTATTTATTTATTTATATCTTTGGACAACATTTTCTAATTTGTTATTTGAGAGTTCTCTGAAATTATACTGTTGGACTATGCTGGTCTATATGTTCTTTTGCTATTATTAGAATTACTGAAACATGCTAATGCTTCTTTTTTTGTTTAGACAAAGAAAAGGTTTATCGAGGAGAAAAGGGACAGAAATAAAGTGGAACTCCTAATGCTTCTTTAAAAATTATTTAGCCAAGTTATTGAGTATGTGATTTATGTAGAATGTATTAGTCCATTACAATCTGTGTCAACTTTTAAGGTTAGTGAAGATTCCAATTTGATCTGACAGTACCTTTCATTCTCTTATTACTTTTTGAAAAGCAATAATAACTATTTACTTTTGAAAGGTAGTAATAGCTATGATCGGATACTGGTTAGTACTCAGTGTTGTGAAAGGTAATAATAATAGGTGTCATTCACTGTCTACTAAATTTCAGGCACTGTGCTGGGTACTTCACATATGTTGTCTCTATCTTTCATTGTAACACCACTGGGAAATTATTGTATTTTCAATTTTGTAAGTGAAAAAAATCCTGACTTTAAATTAATGAGCCTAAGCAACTTGTTTAGAGTTATATAGTTATAATAATATTAAGAATCACTAACACGTGTAGAACATTTATTGTGTTCTGGACACTTTATTAAAGAATAATATGATTATGGGACTCCCTGGTGGTGCAGGGTTTGAAATCTCAGTGCTATTGAGCTATTGCCAGCCACTGTGGCATGAGTTCAGTCCTCGGTAAGGGAGCTAACCCTCATGGCGTAGCAGACCTCTCCTGTCTTGTCTGCTACTCCCTTCAGCAGTGTATGTCAGTAGACCTGCCTGTTCTGCTCCCCACTCTGTCTCTGTCTCTGGTGAATCCTCTTACCCCCAGTACCTCTGGCCTACACCCCAGTTCTTCTATGCATAAATAAATAAATAAATAAATAAATAAATAAATAAATAAAATAAATCTTAAAAAAAAAGAATAACATGTGATTAACTCACTTGATCCTCACTACTCTGGGAGTTATTCCCATTTTATAGATGGTAAAATTGGAGTAATTTCAGGGTCATTCACAGAACAATTGATGCAGGTAGGATTTGAACCCAAGCAGTCAGACTCCAGAGTCTATACTAAAACATTATTATGTACTAAAGAAGAGGCTATACACAGTAAAACCAGAGTAAAAAATGTATATAATTACTAATTTTTTTTTCAACTTTGCTGCTTTTTCTCTTTGGGAAAAAAGTGCAAATTTCTTCATTGACCTGTGATTGTAAAACCATATTTTATTAGCTTTTCATCACTTTTATCTCTCTTTAGGTACTCCAGTTCAGAATGATCTCCAAGAGTTTTTTGCATTAATTGATTTTGTAAATCCGGGAGTATTAGGCTCTTTGTCATCTTATAGAAAAATATATGAGGAACCCATCATTGTATCAAGACAACCTTCTGCTTCTGAGGTAAGATTTACTTTACTAGTTTAAAAAGAGCAGCATGTCTGGGAAAATATTCATAACTTGGGTTTTATTTTAATTTAGGACAAATTAATTTAGAGAATTTTTTTTTCTCACAAGCCATCATCTCTTCTAGCATCCCTTATTTTAGAAAATGGTGAAGAAAAACATAATAAGCACATTACAAAGGATCATAAATGCCAATTGTAAACATATAAACATTTCTTAGTAGTATGGAAAAAAGTAAACTAAAATAATCATGAAGTAACTTTTTTTACTATTCTATTGATGCTTTAGTTGGTTGGGTTTGTATAGAAACAGCAAATGATGAGAGGTCTAACTTCTACTGGTTGGAAGTAAATTGGTTCCACCAGAGGATATTTTGACAATATGTACTAAAAACCTTTAAATTTTGCATATCTTATGACCTGGAAGTACCACTTGTAGGAATTTTTTTTTTTTAAGACAGTAAGTTTTTTTGTTTTTTTTTTTAAGATTTATTTATTTATACAAGCACTGGATACAGTCAGAAGCGCGGGAGGGTGAGAGAATTCACTGAGCCAGAGTGGGGAGCAGAACAGGCAGAAGGACCGAAGTACACTGCTGAGGGAAGCAGCGGACGGCAGGAGAGGTCTGCGCGCCACGTGGGATCCTCCTCCAGTGGCCGGGAAGCAGCCGGGAATCGAACCGGCGCTGCAGAGGCTGCGGGCAGCTTCGCAACCCAGCGCTCAACCGCTACGCCACTGGGGAGGTCCCTGTAGGAATTTTTTTATGAACAAAATATTTATTATAAAAGTAATCATAGTTGTACTTCTGATTGTATGGGTTAAAAATTAGAAACAACTTAACGAAAACAAGCTAATTGGAAAGAAAACATTTCTAAAGGTAGGAAAATTATTAAATAAGAGCTTACATGTTGTATAGATAATATATATAATTGAATCTAAGATAATACTAATTCTAAAATGCATCATTTTTTTATGTATCACTAAGGAAAACATACTTTCAATTATAATTGCAAGAAGTCACTGATTATGAAATAGCATCCTATTTCAGAGAAGCTAAGTGGAAATAATTTCAGAATTAATATAATCAGTCAACAAATATTGAACATTTCCCAAGGGACAAGAATTATACAAAACATTGGTTTATATAAATGTTTACTAATATTAATATAAATATATGTTGACATATAACATACTAATATAAATATTATAAAATAGCATGGAAAAAGTTCATGATATGTTATTTAAAAATAAAATCACATTCACCTTAGCTGGATGCTAAATGGTAGATAATAGATTATACAGTGAGAAGTCAAATTGACTGGTTCCTTGTCCCTATAGACCTTTATAGTTTGAGGTACTATTTTTCTTACAAATAAGATAAATATATTTGCATACTAATGCAGAGAAAAATGACTTGGAAGATATACATGTTTTGACAGCAGTGATTATTTCTCACTGACCAAAGTTGGTCTTAAATGTTATTTTTACATAACTTAATTTCTGATTTTTCTACAGTGATCCTATTTCTTTTGTAATGAAAACTGGAAACAATTTTAAAATATTATCAGAAATTTTCTGTGATTTATATAGAAATGAATCTGTACATTTAGGATTTATGTTTAAACTTCACTGTGACTCTATATGCTCAAAAGATTCTGTAGAGTATTTAAGCATATTACATTCTCATTATATTTGACTTAAAAATATACAACTATTTAATAAACCATATGGAATGATTTTGAAGGAATGGGCTATGTTTTATACAATAATTCTTTATAGGAGTAGTTTTAGGATCAATAATTTGTCAAAATATTTGCTTCCGTGAACTTGCTGTAATTAGTTCTTTGCTGATGATTTTAAGACTACGGACCAATTCGGTCTTCACATGAAAACTTACTTTTGGAATAATTTGGTTTATTGATTATTCATTTCTAATATCTCTCTATGATGCCACTAGCAAAGTAAACAAGGATTAGGAGGAGGCGGTGGTTTCATTTTATTAAATGCTTATTCTGAACATTTAAAGAGATGATAGTTTTTAATATCCCAAACTTGTATTTTATTTCTTCTGTTTTTATTTATTTATTTATTTATTTATTTATTTTTTTTTTTATAGAGGCATGCTTTATTTATTTGTTTGCTGGTTTGTTTGTTTTGTTTATACATGCACTGGGTACAGTCAGAAGCGCAGGAGGGTGAGAGAATTCACCAGAGCCAGAGCGGGGAGCAGAGCAGGCAGAAGGACCGAAGTACACTGCTGAGGGGAGCAGCGGGCGGCAGGAGAAGTCTGCACGCCATGTGGGACCCTCCTCCGGTGGCCGGGGAGCAGCCGGGGATCGAACCGGCGCCGCAGAGGCCGCGGGCAGCTTCGCAACCCAGCGCTCAACCGCTGCGCCACCGGGGAGGCCCTATTTCTTCTGTTTTTAAAAAAATCTGAAGGGAAGCAATCTGTGTGTGGTTTATCTTTATTTATTTATTTTTTATTTTTTTTAAGCATCTATTAATATTGTTTATTAACTCAAAATTCATAAAAATAAATGCAAAGAAGGGCTATCATAACTAATTTTACATAAATACAATTTATGGTTTATCTTTATAAAACACCTAATGCTGGGCCTCCCCTGGTGGTGCAGCGATTGAGTGCTGGGCTGCGAGGCTGCCCACAGCCTCTGCAGTGCGGGTTTGATCCCCGGCCGCCAACGAGGGTCACACACAAAAAAATAAATAAATAAACAAATAAACAAACAAATAAATAATAAAACACCTAATGCTCACTTTTTACTGCAAGTGTTTTTTGTCTACACTTTTAAGTCTGCCATTTTTTCATAGGAAGAAAAGGAGTTAGGAGAGAAAAGAGCAGCTGAACTTACTTGCCTCACTGGACTCTTTGTCCTTAGAAGAACTCAAGAAGTCATAAATAAATACCTTCCACCTAAAGTAGAGAATGTAGTCTTTTGCCGACCAGGAGCACTCCAGATTGAACTTTATCGAAAGCTGTTGAATTCACAGGCTGTGAGGTTCTGTCTTCAAGGGCTGTTGGAAAATAGCCCTCACCTAATATGTATAGGAGCTCTTAAAAAGCTGTGCAATCACCCCTGTCTTTTGTTCAACTCTATAAAGGTAAGTAGAACTAAGGGTTCTGTGTCTTGTGAATCTATGAGGACAGGTTGGACTGATTATCAGGGTTGCATTTGAGGGTTTTCTAAAAGCACTACAGCCTCTCCAGTATGGTTCTACATAGAACTTATCCAGCCTTCTTCGTGTTCTTCAGGCGTGTTCACATTCCTAGAGCTATAATATAGGGATAGCATAAGTGTGAGGCACCGCCTTCTAGTATTTTTGCCCCTCACTCTTTACTACCTTGTCTGATGATCTTCCTTCCTACTTTATTTTAGTAAATATTGTTTATTTGGTGCTAACAAATATAAATTTACCATGAGAAATATTTTTTCCTCATTATAGAAATGATACATGATGTTGTATGAAATTTACAAAATTTAGAAATTTACAATAATCATCAACTGGTTAGAGTTTATTTTTTTATTTTACTTTTTTAAAGTCATTTTTTTTAAGGATTTATTTATTTATGCATACAAGAACTGGGGCACCGACCAGAGGTTTGGAGGCAGGGGGAGTAAGAGGATTCACCAGAGACAAGAGTCAGGAACAGAACAGATGGATCTACTGAAATATACTGCTAAGGAGAGCAGCAGGAGAGGTCTGCTGTGCCATATGGGTTTCTCCCTGGCCAGCTGGGGATCGAACTCTTGCTGCAGAGATTGCTGATAGGTGCATCATGCTGTGCTTAACCCCTTGCACCACCAGGGAGGGCAAACCTACCCCTCCCCCTGCCCCCAGCCCCGTTAGATTTTAAATTGATGGAACTGGCAGATAGTTTGGCAATATGTATCCCAAGTCTTATATTTTTATATATCTTGTGCCCTGAAAATACCACTTTTTGTTGATTTGTGAGGTCCACAAATCAGGAGAGAAAGGTAATAGCAAGGAGGGAAGGAATAAGAACAGAGCAAGAACTATCAGTGATGAGAAACTCGGGATTTAGGAGAGGACAGAGTCTATAGCACTCTTTACCCTCAATTTTCTTTTTTTTTTTTTTAATTTTTTTTTTTATATAGAGGCATGTTTTATTTATTTATTTATTTGTTTGTTTGTTTGTTTTGTTTATACATGCACTGGGTACAGTCAGAGCGCGGGAGGGTGAGAGAATTCACCAGAGCCAGAGCGGGGAGCAGAGCAGGCAGAAGGACTGAAGTACACTGCTGAGGGGAGCAGCGGGCGGCAGGAGAGGTCTGCGCGCCATGTGGGACCCTCCTCCAGTGGCCGGGGAGCAGCCGGGGATTGAACCGGCACCGCAGAGGCCGCGGGCAGCTTTGCAACCCAGAGCTCAACCACTGCACCACCGGGGAGGCCCTACCCTCAATTTTCTTTGTTCCTCATATGTGGGCATCGAGACTGCACTTGTAGGGTGAAGGTAGCAGGTGCTTGGAGACTGCGTTAGAACTGCTCTGTGATTAACTCAGCAGGCTGCATGTTATTTTTTTAAAAAATGATCCCATCATAAACTATTACCATTTATATATTTACCTTGTTCTTTTCAGGTAGCTATTAATCTTTACTCTTTTTTTCATACCTATAGCATTTTTTTCCTGCCAATTAAAAACAAATATGAACCAGTGTTAATAATCATCCTTTTGAATAGGAAAAACAATGTAACTCAACATGGGATGAAAGTGAAGACAGGAGTCTATATGAAGGCTTGATAAATGTGTTCCCTGCTGATTACAACCCTCTCATGTTTTCTGAGAAAGAGTCAGGAAAACTGCAGGTTCTGTCAAAGCTGTTAGAGGTTATCCATGAACTTCGTCCTACTGAAAAGTAAGAGGTCAATTTAATAAACTGCTTGTAAGAGCTCATGGAATTTTAGCTTGGACTATGTCCTTATTCCTACCCTCCATTTTTTTAAAATTATTTTTATTTATTTTTTTTTTAAAGAAAAAAAATCACAAATTGTTCTCTGGGGGCGTGGTGAACTGCTATCATTTTGTAAACTTATTACTAACGATGTGTCTGTTACTTTTTATTTAAGAAAAACCATATGTAATACTGATACTAAAAAAAACCCTTATAGATGTCTTCTGATATATAACACGTAACTTGTTTTAAATCTGTCAGAGTTGTTTCTTCTTTTACTGTCCTTCAAATGTTGATACTCCTTAGGGTTTTCTCTTAGACTTCCTTCTCACTCCTCACAACCTTCTTGGATTATCTCTACTCCTTATAATTCATAATATATAATTCAACTACCATCTGAATAGTATTGATTCCATGTCTGTATCTCTAGACCAGCCCTCCCTTCTGGTTTCTATTCCTTAGTTCTATCTCAGGGACATCTAAATCTGTCTTAATTTCTGTTGAACTTTGAGCTTCATAGTTTCTTGTCCTTCTTGGTTGTTGCGTTTATTCACTAGGCTTCCTGGCTTGTAGAGCAGAGTTCCTTCTGGATTCTAGCACTTTAGCTCCAGTGATTGGTGTTCTTGTGCTGCATGCATAGTATGGTGACCCTAAAAATAATAGCCTTTTTTCAAAGTGGAATGTGTTTGGTATGTACTTTTTTCAAGTGTAAAGAGTTTTATTTGTTCACTAAGTCCCTGCCTTCTTGAGTACCCTGGTTTAAGTTTCTTTGGCTTACTTTCTCGAGACAATAAGCATTCCATCAGAAAAAAATGTCTACTGGTTACATAAGAGTAGAATCTGGATTCTACTTACCAGTTTTCTTATGATAGCTCCATTTTATACTCTTTCCATCTGAGGTGCCTTAACAAGATTCTGTAATGTGAATGCACTTCACTTGTCACCTATTGAAATTTCCCTCGTTGGGCACTTAGGTTTCATGTCTCTGTGATTCCAAAGCAGGTCATCATTTCACTATTCTCTGTTTTCATATATATGTCTCCTTGTTTTTAATCAAAGATGGAATTTTTATTTCTGTTTCTCATTCTCCTTATGTTTTTAGAGTAAAAACTTCAGAGAGGTAAAGAAGGCCGAAAGGACTATGCTATAGCACTTAAAACTGGTAGTCTCTTATGTGTTGACTTTAAAATTGCATTTGAAGGAGAACCTGTGTTTTAACTATATAAGGTCATTGTATAGGTTTGTAAATATTAGTGAGAGTATTGCTGTGGTATTTTCCTTCAATTAAAAAATATAACATTGCGTTTAAGTTGCATGTCAAGAATCTCTCTTTTTGATTTCAGGGTAGTATTGGTATCCAACTATACACAAACATTGAATATTTTACAAGAAGTGTGCAGTCGTTATGGGTATGCCTATGCAAGACTTGATGGACAAACACCAATCTCTCAAAGGCAGCAAATTGTTGATGGCTTCAATAGTAAATACTCCTCTGATTTTATTTTTTTGTTAAGTTCAAAAGCTGGTGGTGTAGGACTTAATCTTGTTGGAGGATCTCACTTAATTCTTTATGACATTGATTGGAATCCAGCCACTGATATCCAGGTAGGATTGTTTATAATCATTAAATAAGCATTATTAAATGCTTACTGGGGATACAATCCCTGTTGGAAATAAAAGATTATGATAATATATAATTGCTGCATATGGATCTCTTGTTATTAATCTGGCATTCTGTTAAGTGTTTTCCAGCTATTTAATCTTTACAATAACCCTACAAGTGTTGATATTAATAGCTCTATTTTATAGATGAAGATAGGGGAGCTTTTTCTAGCTCATGTAACTTGTAAGAGATAGAGCCAGGATTCAAACCCAAAACTGTATGTCCCTGGGAAGTTGGGTCTTCAGGATGCCCATGACCATTAGGGGAAGACAATAACATGTTAGAGATGGTATGATTAATGTTTGTACAGTACACAGTAAAGGTACAAACTTAGCTTATTTTCAAAAAAGTTTTAAATGTAGCCTTTGGTTATAGTATAGAGTTCATCTTCATGTATTTTGAGCTTATACCTATAGACTTACACCTCAGTTGGTATGTGTGTTGGGGACGCCAAAACAACTCTCAAGTTCAGTGATTCACTAGAATGACTCACAGAACAAAGAAAAACAACTATCCTTATAGTTATACTTTATTACAGTGAAAGATGCAGACTAAAATTGGCAACGGTAAAAGGAGCATAGATTCAGAAGAGACCAGACACAAGCTTTCAGTCATCTCTTCCCACTGGAATTGTATGAAACAACATTTAAGATCCAGTATTCGTGAATGACAACATATATAAAGTGTTGTCAACCAAAGAGGTTCATCAGAACTTTGGTATCCAGAGTTTTGGAAGTTGGTCATGTGGCCATTCCTTTCTTTGTCCCAGGAATAGACATGAAGTGTTTGGGCAAACCTGGGCTTGTTTTTTGAATCTCTAAGTAAAATCCTTGATTCCTCGTTTTAAATATATTAATATAAATGGCTTATGTGGAAAAGACTATTAATGTCTACTGTGCTCTCAGAATTTTCATTTATTTTTCCATAGGCAATGTCTAGAGTATGGAGAGATGGGCAGAAACATCCAGTGCATATATACAGACTCCTAACTACAGGTAATCACCTTTTAGCATGACAAGAAATGTCACGTTAAATAATTAAAAAACATTTTTTAATTGTTAATCTGTGTTTCAATGTTAGGAATATTGTTATTTTGCTAACTAGTATGCTAATAAACATCTTTAATCTGGAAAAAAAAAAAACATAGACATAAAAGAAAATGAATGTTTTCTTTTCAGGTACAATAGAAGAAAAGATCTATCAAAGGCAGATCAGCAAACAAGGTCTTTCCGGGGCAGTTGTCGATCTAGCTAAGACATCTGAACATATACAGTTTTCAGTAGAGGAACTTAAAAATTTGTTCACATTACATGAGAGTTCACATTGTATTACTCATGATTTGCTTGATTGTGAATGTACAGAAGAAAAAGGTCATCCAGGTTAGTTGTACCTTAATTCTGTTTTTATGGTAAAGATAATTTGTCTCCCTTTAATAGTTGAAAATATTTAAATATAGAATAGATAAAACACCGTTTGCATTTATTATTTTTCTTGACTTCTTAGGTCATAGGGTATTTAAGGCTATAAATTTTCCTCTAAGCTCAACTCCATAATTTTGATATATGGTCCTTTTATTGTTTAATTCTAAATCTTTTGTGTTTTCCTATATAATTTCTCCTTTAACTCATGAATTAACAATATGTCCTAAAATTAATTTAGTTTTTGTTATTGAATTCTGACTACTTTATTGTAATGAAAAATATGACCTGCATGGTATTGATTTTTTGGTAAATATAGAGACTTGGTTTGTGCCTTATGTGATCACTTTGTAAATATTTCTTTTGTGCATGAAAACCATAAATATTCTCTTCATACTGGTTTCCAGCCCTACTATTCCATGAAAAAACACCATTATTAGTTTTTATGTGTCCTTCTGGATATATTTTTATGCATATGCAAGAAATTTTAAATATATATTCTTCCCCCCAAAAAGGGTAGTGGAGTATATGTATTAGTATAGACTGTACATTTTTTATGCCATTTTTATCTTAAGATCTTTCCTTATCTTTACAATTCCCTCTTTCATTCCCCCTGTCCAGCTATATAATCCTCCATTGTATGGATATATCAGTATTTTTCAGAGGCACATTAGGTTCTTGCCAGTCAATAGATATCTTTATTCATATATCTTTTCCCATGTGTTCTGATATACTTATAAATTATCAGTGTTGTAAGGTCTGAGAATATGTGCATTTTTAGTTTTGATAGATATTGCTAAAATGTTCTTCATTGGGTGTTGTATCATTTATATCTCACCAGCAATATACTAAAGTGGCTATTTCCCCAGGGCTTTGCTAGTTTAGTGGATTACAAATGTTAGATTTTTGCCAGTCTGATAAAATAAATTAAAAAAATTAGAAAAAATGTTGACCTCATTTTAATTTGCTTTTCTCTTTTTATGAATGAAGTAGAATGTATTTCCCTATGCTTGAGAGCTGTATTTCCTTTATGTTGGTTATCTTTTGCCCATCTTTCTATTAATAATCTAGTTTTTGTTAGATACACCTGTTATTGAAAGAAATATATTAAAATATTGTAATACTTTGGATTTGTAAGGGCTCCTTGGTATTCTGTCCATTGTTTCTTTTATATGTTTTATACATTTTTGTGAAATTTTATTTCATTATCACTTATTTATTCTATTATTATATAGATTGTTTATCCCTAATGCATTTTGCATTGGTCTTAAGTTGTCTTTTTCTATTCTTTTGTCTTAAATTGCTTGGTGTTCTTATGTTTTGGGTATTTGTCTTATAAATAGTATAAAGCTAGATTTTGATTGGCTGAATTTTTATACTTATTTCAGGTGATTCATTGGAAAAATTTCCTCGCTCTAGCAATTGTCAGCTTGGTCCACATCAACAGAAGTCTAACGCTCTGAAACCTCTTTCCATGTCACAGCTGAAGCAGTGGAAACATTTTTCTGGAGATCATTTAAATCTTACAGATCCTTTTCTTGAAAGAATAAGAGAAAATGTGTCATTCTTTTTTCAGAATATAACCAATCAGACTACTGCTACATGATGAAAGTGTACTTCATGATATTCCCTTTTCCCCCCTTTTAAAATATTTATATGCTAGTTAAATGTGATTTTCGAGAATAGAATTATTTAAATTACAATGGTATATTTTGTTGCAAAATATATTATAGTTTTGACTCAATAACCAAATTGTTTGAGTTGTTTAATTTTTTGTATATATTCTTAAATGTTGAAACAATAAAGATTTATTTCTATCATATAATTTTTGTTAATAATTCCATAATTAGCATACTTTTAAGTACTAACTAAGGAATTTTCATAAAAAATATAAAAAGGTAAAATTCCTAGTTTCTATCTTTGGAAATTCCAGTCTGATTAGGAATATTTGACATGGATGTGTGAGACAATTGAAAAATTTAAACCATAGCTCAAGGAAGAAAGAGAGCCAGAGACTTAGAATTGCAGGTGGCTGAAGATGTTGAATGTAATAGTTGCTGCAGGGCAGTTTGAATGGGAACCGTCACTGGGTTTGGGTCAAAAGATGAAGGAACATGGGACACTTGAGAACACTCGCTTCTAATCTGAGACCTCAGATTCAATGGGGGTCTGGCATGCAGTCGATAAGGCATGTTTGTACATGGAATAGTGGCTCAGTTACCATCACATCAAGCAAGGGTTGTCTGTAATATTTGACATTAAAAAAGAGAGTCTTAATGTACAAAGCAAGCTTTGTAAGACTAAAGTCAGCAAAGAGAAGGGAGTCACTCATTTCACCTCTCTCTTTAATCAGCTTTTACTTCCATTTAGGAAAACTTTTTTAGACTGAATATTGCCTTGAGGTATTGACTAGCGACTGAATTATGAATCACTAAATATGAGTTCTTTAGATTTGGGATGGCTTACCTGGGCATTTGTTTATCTAGGCTTCATGAACAGCCAGTTTGGGACCATATTTGTCAGTGAGGAAGGAGTCAACAAATAATAAAACTAATAATAAGCAAAAAATGGTGTTTTTTCACCCTGTGAATAGGTCTATTTATGAAGCTTTACATATAAAACTTCTTTCAGTATATATCTTGCATCATATCTGTCTAAGGTATAATATTAAAAATAATAATAAGAGACTAGCAAGTTTATTATCTGTCTTAACAGCAGTGGATGCTAAGGTGTGCACCTAGATTCCTCTTTTAGAATGAAGGTTCTCATTTTCTCAGCAGCCAGGACATCACCTTTGACCTATGATTCATAGTCAAATCCCCACATAAGAAGAGCCTGCCTGCAAAAGGAACTGCTGCATCCGAAGTTATATTCCTTTTTCAGCGTGCCTGGCTTCTAGTCATTTGTTGATCAGGATAGACAGGTCCAGCCTCAGGACAACTCTAAAAAAATAGGAACTAAAACAGGAAAAAAGAAGATAATCACTAACATTTATTAAGTACTTATTACCATGTTGTAAATGCTAAGTGCTTTCCATGCTTTGGCAACCTCAGGAGGTAGGGTTAGTATTGTCTTAGATGACCTGAGTTTCCCCCATCTGTTCAATGATATGCCCAGAGGTAACTGAAACTTAAAGGAAATAATACGTGGGTGGTGAGAGAGAGAAATACCTTGACTGCTTTCATAGAATTCCTTCTACAGTTTATTTTCTAAGTACTGTGTAAATAACCCTCTCTTCATTTCTGTCTCTCCCTGAAATCTTGCTGAAATATCAGAAGAGTTTGAGCTTCATGAGAGAATCCATATGATGCACAGGAGCTTTGTCCTGCACAGGAACTCAGAGACAGAAGCGCAGATGATGGTAAACCTCTGGGAATTGAACTGAGGCAGTCTTTGGATTTTGGCAGGCCAGGAGTTTGTGGTGGTTCAAATTCACTTAATTCAGACATTAAAGGACCCCAAATTAATATATGGGGTGCAAATATATAAAGCACTTTTTCTATAGCAGATGCTCAATTTGTAAGAATTACCTTCTTTTTACTTTATGCTCCTAGTCCCAAGCTCTGCTTAACATATTTCAACTGTTTACCTGACTGAGAACAATAGAAGTGATATTTTCCAATTGATGCAGTTGATTAAACTATACTTTCCATTCGGCTTAGAATGCTCAGATTCCCAAACTCATGACGCAATAGGTTGCTTGCAGCTTTAGGTTTACTTTTCTTTAAGAAAACATACAGTACAGGGCCTCCCCGGTGGCGCAGCGGTTGAGCGCTGGGTTGGAAGCTGCCCGCGGCCTCTGCAGCGCCGGTTCGATCCCCGGCCACTGGAGGAGGGTCCCACATGGCGCGCAGACCTCTCCTGCCGCCCGCTGCTCCCCTCAGCAGTGTACTTCGGTCCTTCTGCTTGCTCTGCTCCCCGCTCTGGCTCGGTGAGTTTTCTCGCCCTCCCACGTTTCTGACTGTACCCAGTGCTTGTGTAGATAAATAAATAAATCTTAAAAAAGAAAAAAAAAAGAAAGAAAACATACAGTACCAGTAACAAAGAAATCGGGTATTGAAAAGCAATTTTGTGACTCCAAATGTCCCTATCCCTCTGCACTTGAGAGACATGTATGTGTTCATGGGGTACAAGGCTGATTGGGAGTGGTCACCTTAATTTATGGGAGCCATAGGCTCTGGGGTACCTTCAACCTGTATGCCTTGCTAAGGTTGGGAGATAAAATAAGAGTAAATATGGCCATCTCAATATTCCTTTCATTATTGGTAACAGCTTACTTGATGGACTTGGCTTGTATCTGTTACCCAAGTGTACTTGATGCTGAATTCTGTCCTGCCCATGAGGAAATGCTTCCTCTCTAAGCTTTATGGTATGGAGTCCCAGAGGAGAGATTGTGCATTCTATAAGCAGGCTCCAGACACCTTCCCAGGAGGAAGAAGGTGGAGAGATTGTCCTTTTGGTGTTTGCTTTTTTTTTTAAACTTTTTTTTTTTAAAGATTTATTTATTTATATAAGAACTGGGGTACAGGCCAGATGCACAGGCGTGTGAGAGGATTCACCAGACACAGAGTGGGGAACAGAACAGGCAGACTGAGTGAAATACACTGCTGAGGGGAGCAGCAGGCGAGACAGGAAAGGTCTGCTGTGCCATGTGGGACCCACACCGGCCGGCCGGGATCGAACTGGTGCTGTAGAGGCTGCGGACAGCTTCACAGTGCAGCGCTCAACCGAGGGAGGCCCCAGCAGGGGAGGCCCCTTTTGGTGTTTTTTAATTGAGGTAAAAATCATATAAAGTAGTTTTCATCATTAAAAATAATTTATTGGGGTAAAATTCATATAATGATTTCAAAGTGAACAGTTCAATGGCATTTACTATCTTTTTCCAGAACTTTTTTGTCACTCTGAAAAGAAGTCCTATGTCTTCTGTAAGCATCACTCACAGAGCTAGTGTAGAATGATACCATTATGGTCCTTTCATCTTTGGCCCTGAATCAGTATTAAGGAATGAAGGTGGCTGATGGATTGTGATCCTGCGGAAGTTATTCTTCAGGAAATAGTGTAGTCTTTCATCCTACTTCCCAGTTGTCAACAAACAGAAATTCCAGTTGCTTCTAGCACAGGTCTATTTTAACCTTCCATTTATATTAGTATTCTCCAGAGAAACAAAAGTAATAGAGAAGTCATCTGTCAGTCTATCTGCTTGCCTGCCTGTCTATCTATCTGTCAATCATCAAATCAATCCATTTATCTAGAGATTTATTTATTTTAAGGAGTTGACTCACATGGTTGTGGGCCTGGCAATCTGTATAGGGTAAGCCAGAAGCTTGGAAAAGCAGGCAGAATTTCTATGTTGCAGTTTTCAGGCAGAATTCCTTTGGGGAACCTCAGTTTTTGTTCTCAGGGCCATCAGTTCACCCACACTATCAAGTATAATCGATTTTAATTAAAGTGAACTAATTGCAAATGTTAATTATATTTTAAAACTGCCTTCACAGCATTTTGTAGACTAGTGTTTGACAAAACGACTGGGCATCATAGCCTAGCCAAATTGACACAAAATTAGCCATCATACCATCCATTCTTATTTATTTTTAGTTCATAGCACCTAGTGTTCAGTATGTGCCAGGGACTTTTCTAAGTTCTTGGTAAATAGTAACTCATTTACTGTATATATGCATATTAATGAGGATTTATTATATGTATACATGAACACAAATCTTAGTGTATGAATATAGATCATAATTTGTTAGGTTGATTCCCCCAATTCATGTTTTTCCCCTTATTTTTTTGCCTTCTGTTTCCTCTTAATTTCAATCACATCACTTTTTCATTTGACCTTATTCCTCTGGGAATCCTTTGGGCTGCTCCTCCCCTGCCCCTGCATTCCTGGACTCTACTGCCATTCTGTAACTGTGGTTGTCAGAGAATCCAAAATAACAGACGTTTAAGTGAGGCAGAAGTTTATTTCTCAAGAAGAAGACTGGTCTGGCAGTCCAGACTGGTGTGGCGTGTGGTTGTATCAGTTAGCAGGGACCCATGCTTCCAGATTGCTGCTACTCCTCTGTCTTTCCTATGCAATTTCCATCTTGCAGCCCACACTGCCCCCAGCAATTGTGTTTGCATGTCAGCAGGCAGGAAGGAAAGGAGCAAGCCCTTTTTGAACTTGCACACCCCATTTCACTTACATCCCTTTGACCAGAACTTGTCATGTGCCAAGTTAGCAATATTCTTGACAAATGTACCAATCAAGGAAGTCTCTCCTCCCAAAGGCCATGGTGAATAAATAAGCAAAGAGATGCCAGGAGTTACATTAATTTAGTTCTCTGCACCAGACAAATGGGAGAAGAAGCACATCTCCTAATAGTGGAGAGTTGGCACAATCTTATTGAACATCAACAGATGTAGAACCATTCACTAGGCAATTCCAGTAAGCTTGGAAAAAGTAGCTTATAAGAGAAGAGGGTTTTGTAAAGAAGGTTGATGTACATATAGGTTAAGATTGTTTCCAGGCATCATTTAATTTATTTATGAGTTTTAGATGGAATATTATTTATATGCCTGCTATTTAATCTGTCATAATGAGAACTGACATGAAATTGCTGAAAATGTCATTTTCTTAAAAATTGAATCTTCTCTAAGCCCAGAATTAACACAAATCATTATTTAACTGGACATTCCTCTAACACTTGATAGCAGCTTTCTTCACAATGAATGACACAGAATGTTACTTACATGGTAATAGTTCTCATAAGAAGCAAGACATATGGATTTAATCGAAGGTTGATGTGACTTTACAACTCACTTGTATGAGTCAGCTTTAA